TGGTACTCAAGGCAGCTAATAATAAATGCAATAAAGTCTTCATTAAAAGGTAACATAAAACAAAGCATTAAAAAATAAAAACACAAGACAGCCAGTAAAATCGCCAGAAAAGAAGCACCAGAAAAGAAATACTCTAGTTCCTTAGTTTTTGTTCTATTTGTTTTCTATTTATCTGAGATATTTCTTCACCTGTTTTTGGCCTTAAAAAGAGCTGATGAGCTAGTCTGTGAGATAAAACGCCACCACAATTTAATACTAATGGAATGATTAAAGCCTTCTTTTGCAAATTAAAAACCATTCAAAGCTTGGCAGAACAAACGCTTTTGCGGCCCACCTAAAGTCATCGGAATGAGAGCTGGTCTAACTTCCCTTGAGAGTGACTTCTATAGCTCACATGTCCCTGTGCAGTGTTCTCAAAGGAACCTTTTTTTGGTAGTGAGGCATGCAGCAGAAGCTTGGAAAACAATGGTATCCTATTTTATGGATAGATTCTGGCCCTGAGTTGATCTTAGATCTTCTGGCCCTACATTGTTGAGGACTTATAGGGAGATACCAGCACTTTGAAGTGGGTCTGGAGTCAAATCAAAGGCCTGTCCAGCCTGTCTAAACAAGAAGCACCAGAAATCATCCAGGCTACTGTATTTTGCACTGGCTGCAGCTTCCATGTGCTCTTCAAGGGTGGCCCTACATACAGTATGTTGCATGTTGGGAGGCGACCAAGGTATGTCTCATTGTGGCCAGGTCCACCTTCTCTGGGAAGGCACATGGCCGGTGTGCCAGTGAGAGCTAAGCAAGGTGCTCCTGGTCATGCAGCACCCTCTGTGCATCGAGGAAAGCCACAGATCCAGGAGCACCCCAAAACTATGAACTTGATCCTTGAGATCAAGGATCTCCTCCCAATGACAGTTGCCTTGTTTGCTGACCAGCCACACCTCTCTCCTGTCTGTTCAGCCATTCTAAGATCATGTTCCCTTTTATAAGCTTCACGCACTCTGCTCTGATTTTTCTGAGCCTTGGCACTCAGCTCTTCAGTGACCCTGCTTTAAACAGGCGGCCATTAATTTCTTCCTCTCCTGCGCCTTTTAATACCAATTATGTGGAATAAAGGCAGGGCTGCATGTCCTGTTGCTACAGTCTGCCATGCCACATCGAGTTTCCCTGTAATAAGTAACCTTTCAGGCCAATTGTTGCCCGTGCATCTCAATGTTTCGTCATCCAAATACCTGCAGAGTCACTTCATGACAGAAGCTGAGCTACTTTGGAGGACAAGAAATAGAAGTAAGATGTGGGAGGCACCTTTGATGTTAGGCCTGTTTGGGATCATGAAAAGTGAAGTTGACTGAGATTTTCTTACAATGCTTTTCATATAATACGGTAATGAATAAAGGGTTGTTTGAGAGGGTACGGTTTTTGTGCAGCATGTAGACATTGCAATATCAAGGATTACCTCATCTTTTCCCCCACTTTCCTCTTTCACACTCAGTTATTTTCTTCTCTTCTGCTTTTTTGCATATTAGAGTCTCCTATTTTATTGCATGAATTGCAAGTGTGAATATAAAAAGTTCACAAGAACACCAACAGTATCCAAGAAGGAGAGGCTTCTGTAAGTTGCAAGCCCAACAATTAGAAGGTTGATTTAAAAGAAAACAGGTGGGATTAAAATGGTTTCAAACTGCTTTCTGTTGACATGTTTTTAATGAAAATTATTAACGCATGAACCAGAAGCCAGCTGGTTCATTGCCACACTTGCTAGACTGTATGGTGCTTTCTCAGGTACATCAAGGGTGACGTTCATCGAATCTACTTTGTTGTTGTTATTCGCTGGAATCTCAAGGTCCACCAACTCAGGAGCACAATAGTGAATCATGGTGAACATACGCCTGCAGAATTAAGGGACGTTGTGCCTTGGTTCAGACCAAGAATTGGTAGGCAGTTTCGAAACTGTCTTTGCAGTGGTTTCATACAATCACCCCCCCCCCCCCACACACACACACTCACATGCACCCTCAACAACCCAGTCCTGGTTTCGTCCTGCGTGCCGGCTTCATTTCAGCAGCCTAATTTGGGGGCTGGAGAAGCGTTTTGTTCTTGTCAAGTCAAACCCTTGCGGATCTACTGCCAGTCACTGAGAGATCAGTGGGTAGATCCGAATCTACCTTCTGTTCACCCCTGATTTAACATGACATTGATTTGCAAAAAGTAGCGAGTTACGGTTTAGTGGAAAATAAAACAAGTTAACAAGGTGAAACATAAAGGCTGGATTATCTTGGCACAGAATGTATTTATTTTCCTGTATAGAACACTGTTTATATAACCCAGTCTGGCGGTACCAGGCATGAAAAGACCACATTCTTGTTGCTGGGGGGCAAACAGGAATAAAATGCATAATCCTAATATTTACTGGAGCAACAAAGCATGACTACTTAGCAATTTCTGCAGGAACAAATGGAAGACTCTTTTTCTGCAATAATAGATCTGCACGTAATCCCTTATTTAAACATGGGAAGGAAGCAGTTAGATTTACTAACAAACTCTAAGCTTGTCTTATGCTTTTTTTAATGGTGTGTGTGTGTGTGTTTGTGTATAAGGGAGCAAAAGTACCCTCTAGTTTAAATAAGCAGCATGTATCCAACCCTAACTTCTAAAATTACTGCACTGGAATTGTCCTGTGGATCGTAACTACTGAGCATGAGTATGGGATTTAAACTTTCCCACCCAGCCACCCCTCCAGTTTTCTACCCTGTTGTGGGGTGGGACTTAAGGGGAAAAGACTAGGTGGAACCAAAGGAGGTTTTTTCTTCCTTGTCTGTGCTGAGGTAGGGAATGAATTTAAACATTCAGTGGTTGGCTGGAATGGCTTACCTCCATCTCTCACATGTATGCATGATAGGACCTGTCTGGATTAAAACCTCACCTGGGGAGGGGAAAAAAGGTAGGGTCACATCGTGTGCGCTTTTGTGATAGTGTGTAATTTAGCCCCGAGAGACTAGGACATGCCTCTCTGGGACCAGATGTGCCTCTTCTGGGACGGGGCACAGCTGGTGAAGTGAAAGGTTCCCTGCACACTAATTCCGTGTGCATGCAGGAGGGACAGCACATTCCTGGAGCACTGAGCATCTGTGAACCTGATCTTTGCAAGGGACTCTTTCCAAAACAGGTTGTCTGTCCAATCCTGCCTTAGCTTACTTGCTGGCCAACACCACCTCTGTCTTGCCTGTAGATCACATTCCAAGACTTTGCTCCCCTTTCCAGACACAGCCAGCTTCCTGAGCCTTAAAACTCAGGTCCATAATGACATTGCTAGATGGGAAGTCATGCAGTGCTTCCTTTCCTGCCACTAGCAATTTTTCCCCCGACCCACCTAAACCCTCATAAAAAGGTATTTTATACATGCATCTTCACTAAGTTACCAATTTTTGTGGGTTTTGTTTATTAATGGGCTTAGCAAAGTGTCCTAGTTTGCCCAATAAAAGGCTTTGCTTAGTTAGACCTGAGCTCAGAGCAAAACAAGCTTCGGTCTTCTCCTCCTCCTGGTTTCCTCCGGCGCTTTTGGTTTCTTGGCCTGTGGTCTGTCAGGCAGCAAGCAGATTTGGGGAGGTGAAGGAGCAGCGACTTGTCCACAGGCAGCACATCAAGGGAGCCATGACGGGATGTCAGGGGCCCTGTGGGGAGTTCAAGAGTGGCTTCTGGCTCCCCACCAGGTAATGCCTGTTATGTGTCCCACCATGGACACCATGGCGTGGAGTGATGCCATGTCAGGGGCATTGAGGGAAATTCAAATGGCAGCTCCTTGGCCTGTGGAAAGGTCTTTTAAGGCCGTCTCCTGGTGGTCCTTGCGGGTGGGCTTTGCTGAGGCACCGAGGCACGAGAATGGCAGGCCCGTCCTGAAGTTTCCTTATTAGCACGCAACATTCTTTGTCCCTAGGCCACGTGCATCTTTAGGCCAATCCATCTTCTCTCTTCATTTCCTTAACTCCATATTTTCCCTGGCTCCATTTCCCTCCTCTGCTTTATATTTCTCTCACTTCCATGTATTTAAATCATTTTCCCCACATCTTCCAGGGACCCCTGAAATCTGTAGGGCAGGTGGACTGTAACTCTTCTGTGGAACCCATGTGGTTCTTGCACAAGTCTCATGTTTAATCCCCAGGTTTTCCAGTTAAAGCAGCCTATCCCAACCTGATGCCTTCCAGATGTTTTGGACTAAGCTCCTATAATTCCTGCCCACTGACTAGATTGTCTCGGGCTGATGGTATTCCAAAACATTTGGAAGGCACTGGCTTGGGAAGGCTGAGCAAAAGGATCCCGGTTTGCCTGGACTAGGAAAGACCTCTACCTTGAAGAAACGTGTAGTCGGAATACTGGATTACATGATCCAACAGCCCATCTATAAGTAAAGCCCTTTGCCTCTTCTGTTCCCTTTCCTTGCTTCCAACTTCCCCATCCCTCTGCTTCTGCCTTCCTTGATTGCTTCTAGCTGTCTTCCCAACGGGTATCCTGCAATCCATTTGTATGGGTTTGGGCTGTCCACTGTGCCCCAACTGTGCCCTTCACTTCGGCCTCTGAATTGCTGACCTTTAATATTCAGCTTCACAGCATCCTCTCCCTCCCTCACAAGTTAGCACGCTCATGGGCATTTCATCACACCCAGGAGCTCAGCCAGTGGCAGGGGAGGACGGAGCCAGTAGGAGATATGCTTTTCTTTTTAAAGCTGTGATAAAGATGATGCTCCACCCCAAAGATTGGGTTTAGAGTGCCCCTTGTTCTCTGCAATGGGTACAAACTGGTCATTCCACTGAATCCAGCTCTAGTTCTCCCAGGACTGTGCAGTGGTGGAAGTCATTAACTTGGTGTTGCTTCCATGAACTGCCCCACTTTTGCTGGACCTCCATCTGAGTTGCGGGGACCTTTTCGTTGGCTTGCCTGGTCTCCATGGCTTATTGATATTTATTCTCTGTTTTTTGCTTCCTTTGTCTCCCCTCTTCTTTCTGTGCTGGCAGCAAACACTGGAGATGAACCTCACCAACCTGGTTAAACGAAATAGTGAGCTGGAAAACCAGATGGCCAAACTGATACAGATCTGCCAGCAGGTGGAGGTATGTGTTGGCTCACGAACGCACGGTGGTGGCACAGGGTCTGTCGGTGTCCATATTCTGGGGACGGGCTTGGCGACCACTTGCTGAGTGTGCAGCCAGAAGCAGAGGAGAGCTCCATGGTCGCGGGCTGCTTGCAAAAGATTGCTGTGGGATGCAAGCACACGGAGCAGGGTGGACGGTTGTGCGATGTAATCAGGCAGAGCCGCCTTCCCCAAGCTGAACCCCTGCAGATGCCTTGGACTACTTGACCCTGCTGGCTGGGAAGGACAGAAGCTGCCATCTAACAGTTCTGGGAGGCAACGGGTTGGGGAAGACTGTGATAAAGCACATGCTCCAGCATACGACAGTATTTCAAAGGGGGAAAGCGTCTTCATGTAGAAAGGTAGCAAGCCAAAGGAAAGACAGCTTTCCAGGCGAGCAGCCTCTTTTGAATATATTAGCATTGCTAAAAGCAGGGAGATTTTAGCATGGTGGAGCACTGACGTACACGAGTCTGCTAACTGCAGTCCAAAATAGTCTCCTGGACTCTATATCAAATAAACTAAATTGATTGATACGCATTTAGTGCCAACAGGATGAGGTTTTGTGTAAAAGAGCCAGCCTGAGGGTGCCCTGAAATTGCAACAATTTGACTGGCATTTGGTTTTCCAAGTGGCAGGTCTGTGGCAACACATTTGGTGACTTATTGATTTATTAAATCTATAATAATTCCAGCATTATTGCCTATAGCATCTCCGACTTAGAAAGGGCTGGAAAATAAAGCAGAACAATTAAAAAAGGAACACACAATAACATTAAAGCAATATTCAGCTGAAGGTTGCTAATATTCAGCCAAATATAACTGTACTTATCTGGCAGTGGAACACTGCTAATATAAGTGTTAGTTGGATAGGTTAATTTTTATTTATCAGATTTCTGTGCTGCCCATTCGCTGATGTTCTCTTGGAGGATTACAAGACAACGTTTAAAACCAAAAAATACAATAATATAGTATAAAACATAGAATAAAACTATAGTGGGAGTTCCTGATTAATTTCCACTGGGATTGTTCTTTTTTTCTGCTAGTCTCTTTCAATGTAGCTTTAATTTTGTGCTGTTTGTAGGCTGCCTTGAGAATCCATATTTATGGTTGTTGAAGGCAGGCTGGAAATGTAAAATAAGCACCACAAATAAACTTCTGCTTTTGCATCTGTGTCAGCCACAGCTTTTCGCATGTCCCCATCCCCTTGTCTTGCTTCTCCGTATCAGCGCAGTACCCGTTTCATGTTCACCCCAGTCACTTTCCGCCTGTTTGCATCCCCTCTCTAGTGCTCTGCCATTGGAGGGCCAAAGTACATGTTAAAAACAAAACGGGCTGGGTTAAGAGCACTTATTTAGAAGATGAAACAGCTGCTAGGCCCAAGCCATTACGTGCTTCCAATCCAAATTTGTAACGTGCGTGGGTAGAGCTTCACCAGCTGAAGTTCCCCTTTCCCCTCCCACAGCTGTTTGGGAGGCGGATATTACCTGCAGAAGGGTGAACCCAGTCTAGGCTGAAAGCACATTCCTGGATAGTCCCCATGAAATGACTTTGCTTTCTTCCGTCATTTGTCCTTGTTGTCTTCCAAATAAAAGTGGTGGGTTTAACTATAAAAAGAAAAGAAAGACTATCTTAATGCAACCTTTCCAACCTGGTGTTCTCCAAGTGTTTTGGTTGTTAGGGCTTATTAGAGTCGAAGTCCAAATCAGAGGGAAGGCACCAGAGTGGGGAAAGCTGGCCTAATACACCACCTGGATTGCAGAGTTCTTGCAAAAGAAACAAAATGAAAAGCAACTTTAGCTTGGCCCTTTCGTAAGCCCCAAGTGACATCTTGTTGGTCAGTGCTGGCCTGCAGGCACCCTGTTTTCTTCCATATAGGGTAAGCTTTTGGACGTTGTCCATTCTGGTATTTTGGGACTCTTGGACGGGCATCCTCAGTGGCCCTCCATCAGTGAGGTGACCTTCTCACCCCCATTGTCACCAGCTGTTGGATAAAAGGCATAGAAAACTAGCAACTTGCCTTGAATCCCATGGAGGAAAAGTGCCCCTTTTTTGTCCAGGAAGGCTTTGACAGTCTTTTTCAAACTCCAAGGATGCTGGTCAGGCACCTTTATGCTTGCTTTCCCAAGGGTATCTTCCCCTCCCTTCCTATCCACCCCCAGCCCTCTCCTTCCATCCAGCAGAAGCAGAAGCCAAGAAATCTCTGTGGCTATTAAGCGGCAGAAACATGGTTCCATCAGCAAAGATCTCTCACCCACTGCATCTGAAGGCAACAAAGCACTTTAATGCCTTATTCCTTCCAGAGGCTGAACAATTAATAGTGAATTAGTTCACTGCTTTGTTTACTGAGGCAGTGGAAGAGGAGAAGCTATAGCAATTAGTTTCTTCTTAATGGGCTATTGATTTTCAGTTACTAAATTAAGAAGTGGTTCTTTGAACAAGCTTCTTTGTCTTCTTTTAATAATGGAAGTAGAGATACTGATCTATGGCAGTCAGTATGTGTTTCAGGCCACAGGCCAAATCCACCCATCTACAGTTCTCCAGATGACTCCTCCCCATCTCCCTGACCAACAGTTTTTTGGTTGTTGTGTGCTGCTCTCTCATACCACAACACAGCCCACCTGCATTGGTTCTCAACCAAAGCCTTATCTTGCAGTGAGAGCAGCTGAGAGCAATTTCAATATCCCACAGGGTTCTAGGCATAGTACCAGGTAAGCCGCTTTTGTTCAAAGCCCACTTGGCGGGGGCCTTCCACAAATAGTTTGCTGAAAGGAAGTTTAATGCCTCCCTCCTTGCTCATTCTGTGGTCCCTTGAGGCTAACTGGAAGAGGTGGTAGCAAGGTGAAGGCAGGAAGAAACTGGTACCTTGGAGAGCTCCTGCTGACTTGCGCTATTATTATTATTATTATTATTATTATTATTATTATTATTACATTTCTATGCCGCCCCTTGCCGAAACCTCGGGGCGGCTTACAACATGATAAAATACATTGAAATACAATAGTACATAATAAATTACCATTAAATATAAAAATACAAAAAAATACATTGATTTACAAATACAAAATTAAAATTATCAGTATAAAATAAAAATATAGGAGGAGAAAGAGAAGGAAGAAGAAGTTGCCCCGGCCAGATCATATGTTTTAACAATTGAAATGATGTTTAAATAAAAAGGTCTTTACCTGGCGCCGAAAAACCAGTAACGACGGTGCCAGGCGGACCTCTTTGGGGAGTGAATTCCATAGGTTGGGCGCCACCGCAGAGAAAGCCCTCCTCCGGGTACTTACTCTCCTAATTTCTTTCATGGAGGGTTCCCGGAGAAGGGACTCTCTCGCAGATCTCAAAGGGCGGTCGGGCATATACGGACGTAAGCGCTCGTTCAGGTAGCCAGGACCCAAGCCGTTTAGGGCTTTGTAGGGCTATCCAGTGTCTTTCTGTGTATCAGGAAAACAGAGGACATTGTCTCAGCAGGGAGCCAAAGCCAACTGAAACCTTATGTAGACTGATAAGACCTATGGTGGTGGGGTCCATTCTTCCTTGCCTGGTGGAGCTAATTGGATTTTTAAAGTCCCTCACCTCATTTTGCAACCTGAGATTTCTGGAGAGACAGAGGGACTCTGAATCAGAGTGTGATGACAGGGCTGCGTTATCTGGTTAGGAAGGTCGTGAATAAGACACTGACTGTTCCAGCACTGATGGAGTAGCCTGTACCTCACTGCACACTCGATGGCCCAAGAGCTGGAGGTCAAGACCCTGCCCTTCCTGCCCACTGTTTCTCTCCTGCAACTGCATTCTGAACCCCATATTGGTGCCATGACAGACCTCTAGGGTTGAAACCCTGTATTTCCATCATAGCAAAAGGTTTGTTAGGGGTGAGCAGAAAGAGGCTCATTGTGCATTGGCTGACCAGCAGTGAGTTTCCATTAGGCTACATGCTGAGTGCTACACTTCTTGCAAAATATGTTCGGTCCAGTCCTAGGAGGTACTGTGTATTTTCTTAGCCCTTCCCTACTATTCCCACTGCCTTCCCCTGGGAAGACGTTATGTCTGCAAAGCATAACCATTCCCTCCCCATAGGAAAACTACAGTTGCTCATGCAAAGCCCCAGACCAGACAAGAAGCTCTGCTGAGCTTGCCCTGGCTTGGAGGGTGCAGAGGCCAGCCTGGGAGGGTGAGTTGAGTTCGGAGCCTAGAATGCCACTGCAAAGCCTGCAGCTGTATGGATCACCACATGGGACTGCTGCAGGTGGGGCTGAGGGTTCTTGTTTCTTGTCCTGCTGGCTCCTGATGCGATCTGAGTTTTCTCAGACAAGAGAACAGCAACCTGCCCAAAGCTTTGCAGCTGAGCCATGATTTTGACAGGATCGGCCCTGCAGCTCCCTGGTCCTCTTTCCTCTGGTCTCCCTTGCATGCATCTTGTTCCTTGTCACTTCATTCTCAGTCATTTTCAAAGCCGCCTCTGAGGTTAATCTTTCTCCTGCTGAGACTTCATCTTCCAGCTGCTCTGAGTCCTGGACCACAAAATGCCATTGAAGGCAGCATTGCATTTCTGCTTACCCAGCAACTTGATCAAAAGTGAGGCAGATAAAAGGGATCCAGGAAGCTTATTCCCTCCTTAGCCTTGCTGAAGCGGCAGCCTAGCCAAAGTGGGGGGAAAGGTTTTTCTCTCTCACTGCTTGTGGCTTTTATCTGTACTTCTGAAGTCATTTTCCTTCTGGCAACAATGCTAGACTTTGCTTTTCTGTGTTGCTTGTGGCAGGTGGAGAGAGGGAAAGGATGGACCGAGCTGAGCTTGGATAAACTGTGTTTAGTAGTGTTTTTAGAGGTAGAATTGTCATATGTGCAAGGGGTTGGAATTCTGAGGAGGGGGCACAGCTGAAGAGGGATGGTTAACCTTCCCCTCCTCCCACGCAGTTCTCCAAAGCTGCTGTGTGGGGGAATAAGGCTTTGAAAAGATGCGTGCCAAATGGCTCCCCCACCACCATGATTGCTTTGCGAAGACAAGAAGCAGCTGGAGGAGAGAGGGAGAGAGCAGGGGGAAGAAGGGGAGAAGGAAGAGAAGGGTCGGTGGGTGGGTGGACGTGTGTGTGTGTGGATGCATGCATGCATGTTAAGAGAGGGAGAAAGGGGAGGGTATTTGCTCTAGCCTTGTTCTCTTTTGGTTCAGTCTGCTGCATGGAGCCCCATAAGAAACAGTTTGACAGAAAGGGTAGGAAACAGAAGTTGTTCTGAATGCCATTTCTTAGCGTTCTTAACCACTGGCCACACTGGCAGGGACTTCTGGGAATTAAATCAAAACACGCCCACCTCTGCTCTAAAGTGTTGCCTAGCCTGAATGTTGATGCCATCTTTCAAAGCCCTGAAGGCGCACTCCAGCTTTGGAGATGACCCAAGTGGCAACCAGAAAGAAGGGTCTTCTTTGTGGCGGTGCCCCATGTGTATTAATGTATTCAGTTCTGGTATGAATCTATCAAGCTGCCAACAACTTGCAGGCAGGATATTTGAGAGAGCACCTTCTCCCTTACCCAGCTGCCCAGAGACTGAGGCTATTGAATGGCATGCCCTTGGTGGTCTCCGTGAGCCCATGGCTCACTTGCCATCCACTCAGAAAAGAGTCTTTCGTGTATTGGCTCAGTTTCTCTGGCGTTCCTGCCTCTGAGGATTAGGCAAATTCCAGCCTGTTCTGTTGCTTTTAGTGCATCCTGAAAGCACTTTTATTTTAGGAAGTGTTCCTTGATTGAATATTCAAAGGTTCATTGATAATCCTGTTGTTAGCATGTTATTTACTTATTTTGTCTGTTTTATCTTTTTATTGCTTATCAGTTTAGAATCTGTTTAGATGTGAAATGATATATAGATGTTGTACTTGACGAGGATGCATAGAACATCATCCTCTGATGTGCAGAACATAATTTAGCTTGGCATTTCAGCTAAGCTGGCTTGTCAGAGAAGCTTGCTGTGATCCTGAACCAAATCTGTTTCTGGTGCCAGGCAAAGACCATTTTATTTGCTTGGGCTTTTTAATGTATTTTAGATTTGCTCATGGCTTAACTGTTCTGCTTTTTTTCATAATTTCTGCCATTTTTCTATTTTTATTGCTTTTAAAGTATAAATAGCAAGCTTTGTCAGGATGTTTTTAAAGAGGAAACAATGAACACATGGGAGCCAAAGGGGGGGCAGCCACCCCCCTCAGAATGGTGCTAGAAAATGGAACTTTATGGAATAATAAAAAGCTCTTAGAAATGCCCCATGCATAAAACCTTTGGAGTGGAGCAGAAGAGTTCTGCTGTTTTAGTCAATTATATTGTGGCATCTGCATTTTTATTATTTTTATTATTAATTGCAAATGGCTCAGGAAGTATTTAAAACTGAAGGGCAAGTTATTAAAATATTTTAAATGAAGTAATACGCGCTGCCTTCTAATGAGCCTCCTTCCCACACACACAGAAGATAATTCAGTCTGGAGTCTCAGGGTACCTAACTGCTCCACTGCAAGCAATGAAAAATTTCTGAATGAGGTGTTGCTGTGAAAGGCCCAGCCAAAGGCTCTTTGTGTTCTGGTCTGCCCGCCATGGCAAGCGCTCAGTGTCCTTGCACACAAGGGAGACCTGGGTTACAGGACTCCCCTGTGAATCAGTCTTTACAGCTTTTGAGGCAAGTCAGTTTCCCGGAAAAGCAGCCATGGAAGAAGACACCCTGGCAGAAAGCTCTAGGTGATGCTGAAGGCAAGCTCATGGGTTTGTTGTTCCAACAAGCAGCCGATTGGGACAGAACCTTCCGTTGGGCTGCCTGGGTATCAGTCTCCCTCGACTCCTTGCAAGCAGATCAGCAAAAGACTTTCTGGCCCAAGTCTTTAAAAGGTTAAAGCTGGCCAGCCAGGCTGGCGTTGCAATACAACAGAAGAGTATTGCGGAAGTCAATATCCAAAGAAACAAGCAAGGTTAGAATACCGGCTGTTAGAGAAATGTTTACCAGTGGCTTCTGAACTGAACACCTTTCCTTCCTCTCAAACTAAAAAGAGCTGTCTACCTTCAGGGTTAGGCTTGCGGAGCTCTCACTGAGAGGATCTGATGCTTCTCGGTTGCTCTGCAAGCCATCCAATTGGAAGGATGATGCCAAGGCTTGGTAGCACTGGAATTTAACTTACAGTGCCCACCCCAACCCCAAATGGAAAAGCACCTCTTTTCCACCATGCGTCAGTCATACCGTTTGCCTTGTTTTTTTGCTCTTCTCTGGCTAGGTGAACACAGCCATGCATGAGGCCAAGCTGATGGAGGAATGTGATGAGCTGATGGAGATCATCCGTCAGCGCAAGCAAGTGATTGCTGTCAAGATCAAAGAAACCAAGGTAGGACTGTGATGCATTGGAAGAGAATCGACACCCCAGGGGTGGAATGATGGCCATCCTCATACCCACATCACGCTGTTCTGATAGGTCTGGCTGTCAAGAAAAAAAGATGTGCAAATTATTGGCAGCGGCCACCAAGTACTTAATTGGACTATTATGGGTACGCAAAGTCACATTCCCCCTCCTTTCCTAAATTCATATTATGCCAGTTTAATTAAATGTAACCCTTCTGCAAGTTGGATAGTTTTACTATCGTATTCTGTAAAATCAAATACTTGTTTCCCCCATAAGCTAAAGTGTGAAAATATACACTTTGGGAGAGTTTCATATTTTGGGAAGATTTGTGCATTTGGAGGAGTTTTCAAATTTTCTTAGCAACAGATTACTGCAAAATTCAATTCCCTCAATGAATGGATGATGGAACAAAACTGCTTGAAATCTGCTGAATGCTGACAAAGTGGATTTTACAACCTCTGCATATCTCTATGAGGACTGTAGAGTTGCAACAGGGGTGCAGCACCAAAGGTCTGGGGTCCAGGCTGGCCCGCCTAGGGTCCTAATCCAGCCTGCGTTTCCCCGGATGGCCCTGCCTGCTGCTATGCGCAGGGCTCTCTGCCCTTTCCCACTCAGCCGAAGCACAATTCTTTTCTTAAAGCCTAACAGGTTGCAAAGCAGAATACATCAAGGTAGCCTTCTCCTTGGGATGTGGGAATAATGGTCTCACACAGAGACTCTGCCTGGTGGACAAGGTTCCCCCAGGCCTGTGCAGCCCTTCCACTGTGGGTGAAAGTTGCATTCAACCACAGGCTGGCGGTCTTCTTCCCAAGGGAGGAATCTCTCGCCCTGTCCTCATGGACACAGCTGGTCGGCTGGCTTCATGGGGCCACTCCTGTTCTGGAACCAGACTCCCCCATGGGCTCTCGACTCGGCAGTCTTCCCAAGCCACTAGTGCAGGTAGAATATCAGCAATTTGCCTGCCTCCTGATACTTCTCTCACCTGGGGGGACCCAGGTTTCCCGTCAGGGCAGGCAGCCCCTTCGCCAAAGCATGCGCTCCAGCAAGGAAGGATTTAGAAGCATGGTGTTAGGTCCGGTCCCTGTGCAGAGAGGCTGTTTGCTAGCACATGTGCTGCACGCATCCATCCTTTTGAGGCTGACCTTCGTGCCTTCCTCCCCAAGCTGGAGAACGAATAATTTGCTAGTTATCATGAAGTTAGATAAGCGAAGGATTACAAAGCACGACTTCAAAGACTTCAAGGAGCGCTAACAAAACTATGCATACCATTATGATGAAATAGGAATAAAGAATGGAGGCCTCTACTACCAAAGACTATAATTCCAAAGCAGAATTGGAGATCACATCAAATGGATATAGGCTTGGATTATAAGCACATTTATTAAGAACTGAGCCCCACCGGACACAGTGGGAGTTGCTGCTGAGCCAATGGGCTGGGGGTGCAGCGTGATGCTGCACTCCCTTGGATGTGTCCCTGTGTGTCTGGCCTCAAAAGACGCTTCATTAAATGTGTGTCTAGCACACTTTAGGGACTGCAGGTGGCGCAGTGGTTTAAACCGCTGTGCTGCTGTGCTGGTAGATCGAAAGGTTGCCGGTTCGAATCTGCACGACGGGGTGAGTTCCCGTTGCTCCGTCCCAGCTCCTGCCAACCTTGCAGTTCGAAAGCATGCAAACGCAAGTGGATAAAAAGGTGCCACTTCGGTGGGCAGGTAACAGCATTCCGTGCACCTCGGTGTTTAGTCATGCTGGCCACATGACCACGGAGACTGTCTGCGGACAAACGCTGGCCCCCTCGGCCAGGAAACGGAGATGAGCATCGCCCCCGAGAGTCAGGCATGACTGGACTTAATGTCAAGGGGAAACCTGTACCTTTAGCACAGTTTTAGACTAGGCTATGTGCCCTGATCTGGATCAGGACTCTTTCATCAGAGGCTGCTTGAACGGGGGTCCTGAATCCACTCTGGAGCAAAAGTGAAGAAATGCAGCAGCTGGATGCTCATTTAAATAAAATTTGTTTCCGCCTTAAGTTCCACTGAACGCAGTAGGAGTTGCTGGCAAGTAAACATGTATAAGATAGAGGTCAAGCTGTGTGTTTTCCAAATATAAAACAAATTCTAATTGATCCTTGGATATTTATCCTGAGCGGAAAGAGATTGAAGCAGGTAAATCAGCACAGCAAGGGAGAAATTGCTTTCAAGGGCCTTGAGCAGAGCAGTGGATATGCCCCAATTTCACAGGAAGCACAGAAAAATGGCAGATTACATGTTGTGCTCAGAATTTGGCTGGCAGAGCAACTCAGTGTTAATTTTAATTATGTTTCAATCACCATAATCAAGTTTCTAGTCCTTATGACTGCAAATACACTCTTAATATTGCACTGATGCTATCCGAGAAAATCTCAGAAGATGGAAGGCTAACTGAAGATAGTCAGGGCTTGTGGGATGGCCTTCAGTGCCCTGCTGATTTTCTCATATTGACCTACCATGGCAAATAGAGCCAGAATAAAGTAAGAAAGTTTGCATAGTGATTTATTTATGTTGTAGAACTCAGTTTTTCTCTTCCTTGGTGCATCATTTTTTGAAAGAAGAAAACATGCACACGCACACCAGCCTGGCCTTGAATAGAAGACATTGAGAAAGCCTGGGCATCATTTGTACAAGGTTAGCTTTGAATGGTGTAGAGGGAGAATTAGGAACTAGAGGTTGTGTGTATGAGATGGAATAACATCTCTCGGGCATCTGAGATGCTTGGAAGCTGCATTCTAATGAAGGGCAGGGTCAAAGGTGGGTTCAGAAAAATGAACATATCATCACATTTTAGCTTAAAGCTCTTCCTGCCAGTAACTAAGCTTTAGGAAAGGGATTTCTTCCCTCTAGAATTCAGAAATGGTGGTTGGAGAAGAGGGGGTGAGGCAGGGGAAGGGACTGTAGCCTTCCCAGGGTCCCTAGAAGACAGGGTTCGGTCTGAGGTTCAGCCTGCTTTGACATTTGAGCGGCAGCTTGCTGAGCCCTGTTTGGGTAAGGAGACCACGTGGCTCTTTGTAGGCAGAGCACTGCCTGAGATATTGAGACTCAACTTCTGAAATCCCGGAAGGGATGAGGGCCTTCTGTGGTGAGCAGGGACTGCTGGACCTCTTGCCAATCACCTTCGTGCCACGCCAGGCCAGGTGTTTGCAGCCTCTTCTACCTGAAAGTTACCTGAAAGCCCCCGTGCTCACTTTCCCTTCCGTTCTTCTGAACATTTTCTTGATGAGTCTGGGCATAAACGAACCATCTATCAGCCCATTAAGTCCCAGCAGGAGAGTCATTTCCTTGTGCAAACAGCCATTTGAAGTTTGGTCTGCTTGCTGCTAGCTGGAATGATAGCCTTTCCTTCTTGCCTGGCATCAGCTTTGACGTTTTTCAGTAATGATGAATGAAGGTGAGCAGGGAAGGGTTGGCAGGAGCAACACCAGCAAACAGAGCCTGGCAGCCTGGAGGAGAGAGGGATGTTAATTGCTCTGCACAGCTGCACTGTACTTGTCTCCTTTTCTCCCCGCCACACGGAGTTTCTCTGCTCCCTCTCCCTTGCCAACGTCACCAGATTTTGGTGTACAAAGAGCCCCTACCCCCGCCTTCTCCAGGCTTTTTCACCTAATTTCCAGGATGTAAGAGAAAAGGTCATAGGTCCATGCACAGAATACTTGCTTTGCATGCAGATGGTCTCCGTTTTAATCCCTAGCATCTCCAGCAGGGCTGGGAAAGAAATCCTGGAGAGCCATCACTGGTCAGTCATACCTGCCGGATCCCTTTTTTAATTGGAGGTGCCCAAGGAATGAAACAGGGACTTCCCGCATGGAAAACGAGCCCTCCGCCATTCTTCTGCTGAGAAATCCGTCCATACGCTTGCCATTTCGGAGCTGGAATCCTTCGCTGGGGTGCTGGATGCTCTTGCTGCTGGCAGTGATCTTCCGGGAGATCGTCAGCCTCCTGCTTTTGCAGGCACCCTCGGGGGCATTGCAGTGTGCAGGACGAATGCTCGGTGAATTTGACACCAGCATTTGCTCCATCTCAGAGTTTGAATCAGACAAGCTCTGACATATGGTGGCTGACTGCGTTTGTATGGGTGTGAATTTCTTGCTAGTTGCATCTGGCAGGGCCATTACTGGGTAGCATGGTTTCCCCAGGCCAGAGTAATGGCAGAAATATCTGTCATAAATCAAGCTGTCATTGGGAGTAAACGCACAGCTTTGGCTCAGAGCACATCTCCCATCAGTATATCCTGTATCTACTTTTTGTGCATTCTAGAGAAAAGGAACCAGGCCCCGTGGGAAGTTCTGTTTGTATCTCAAGTCGCAGCTCTGAGTTCTGCGGCACCTGCTTCTTTGGGGCATTTCCCTTTTGCATGGGGAAATTCACTGCTTGGAAGTGCTCAGTTTGTGAGGGGTAGCGAATTAAGGCTTGGTCCCTTTCTCTGGTCAGGTATGGCTTGTCTGTCTATGTGCCATCAAGTCGTCTCCGACGTAGGGAGGCCCCTATGAATGAAAGCTCTCCAAAATGTCCTGTCCAGGACAGCTCCATTCATCTCTTCCAAGTTCAAGGCTGGGGCTTTCTTGATGGACTCCATCTCTTATTTAGTCTTCCCCTTCTTTTGATTTCCCCTAGCATGATGGTCTCCTCCAGAGAGTCTTGCCTTCTCATGCTGTGTTTGAAGTATGACTGCCTCGCTTTTGTCAGTTTTGCTTCTGGGGAAAGCTCTGGCTTGGCTTAATCTAGGACCCCCTTGTCTGTCTGTCTGTCTGTCTGTCTGTCTGTCTGTCTGTGGGTCCAGGGTCTTCACAAAGCTCTCCTCCAGCACCATATTTAGAATGCCTCCATTTTCTTCCTATCAACTTTCTTCACTGTCCAGCTTTCACATCTTTACATTGTGTTTGGGAATGCCATAGTGCGGATGATCCTGAGCCTGACCTCCAGCCAAATATCCGTTCACTTCATGATCATTGCTAGTTTGTTCCTTGCTGCCCTTCCGGCTCTCAGTCTTCAAATTTCTTGGCTGCAGTCCCCCTTTGAACTGACTGCTGAGCCAAGGTGTGTGAAATCTTTTACAATTTCGATTTCTTCAGGATTAACAGTAAGGTTCTGCGATTCTTCGGTGGACATGATTGTTGTTAATACTCAGCCACAGTCTTTTGTCCTTTTTTTCTTTCACGTTTATCAGGAGTGTTTTCACATTGCAGCTTTCTGCCACCGAGGTGGTATCATCTGCATATCCCAAATTAGGGGTGTTTCTTCTGCCAAGTTTCACTGCTTCCTCTGATTGCAGTCCTACTCACCGTATGATCTGTGTATGCATTGAATGGAGAGGGAGATAAAATAATCCAGCGCTTACTTGCTCAACGGGCAGAGAGCCAGCAAGCTAGTCAACCGTGGCATCTTCTGCTCCTGGTCTTCACCACCTCTCTTGCCAGGGCTAGGTAAACAAACAGCTTGCAGTGGTGCAGAGGCAGAGCGAATCCAGGGGTGGGGGGGTTGCAACTGCCATCTGCCAGGAGGTGGGCCTCAGCAGGTTCTAGTCATGCTTAGTCTCAACACAGGCCCTAGACACCATAATTTTAGTTTTGAAGGTGAATGCCTTTTCCAGAGTCCCTCCAGGTTGGAGGTAGTCACAGGGAGGGAGGGAGAGAGGGAGGATACTGCCTGTGTCCAGACTTCAATGCCATTTGCTTGTTTGGGAAAGCGTTGTAGCTCAGAGGGTAAAGCACATGGTTTGCGCATAGAAGATCTCCCGTTTAGCCCCTGATATTTCCATCTAGCAGCGGGGGGAAGTCCTTTCAGAAATCCTGGAAAGCTGCTGCCAGTCAGTGTCCACAGTACTAAGCTAGATGAACCCCTGGCCCAAGTTGGTACAAGGCAGTTTCCTGTGTTGCTAACTGGGATTGTTGGATGAGTCCCCCTTGCTTTTATTAATGTCAGCAACCTGCATGTGGATCAGGAGTATATTAAAAAAGGAAAGTCCAAGCCGGAGCAGTGCGGTGGGGTTGCACCCTGGGAAGTGGTGGAGGGTGCTGGTGGTGCTGATGCACATTGATATCAGGGTGAGGGTTAACTGTGCCAGTCCTTGATGGAAACGACAGGGAGAGAGGGGGAGAGAGAGAGAGAATGAGAGAGAGGCGGCAGCATTTCTTCCCATAGTCATTCATTGCAGGGCATGCCGTCCTTCCATCACTTGTCACAGAGGGTTTCAAACTGACAAGCTGCCCTGGGGCAGCTCCTCTGGATCAGATTTAGAAGCTGACAAGGAATAGCTGTTATCGTGCAGCCTCGGTCAGGCTCTGAACCGAGCGCCAAAGAGTGCACGCAGTTGTGGGAAGCAGTGGGGCCAGGCTGCTTGTGTGGGGTGAGGCACCAGCAGTGCTTTCCTTTCACAAGCGCATGCGATGGTGGCAAAGAGAGAGATGTATCTCTGCCTCTTGGCATTCAGATTCTCCAATTGGTGTGATAGTCCAGATAATACATTCTCTTAGATGTGACTTATTGAAGCACCGCATCAGCCAAAGGACACAGCAGAATAATGTGTACCATTTATAGGGTGTGTGATAACTGCCTTAAGTACTTTTCCTTTCTTTCTTCTTTTCAACAGAAGAGTTGAGGGATAAATGTTTTAAAATAGAAAGAATTGCTTTATAAATATGCCAATTACTTGGTAAATGTTCTTGCAGTAATCCTTACAGAGTTACTGTGAGTTGGGAAGTCATAATTCTACCTGTTCTGCACTGGTCAGAGTCACACCTAGAATACTGTGTACGTTTCTGGGTGCCACATTTTAAGAAGGATGTTGGCGGTCTGGATCCATACCCAGAGGAGGGTCACAAGGTGTGGTGCCTAGAAACCACATCCTCTGGAGAATGGTTGAGAGAACTGGGTATGTTTGATTTGAAGAAGAGAGAATTAAAAGGGAGAACTTGGTAGGAACCTTCAAGGAGCAAGTGTCCTGCAAGTTGTTGTCCATTGCTCCAGTGTGTGGAAGCAGCAGGGAAGCAGATTTCAACTGAACATTAGGATAAACTTCCTGACAGTGAGAGTTAACTGGAAACTGCATGGTTTGTCTCAAGAGGCGGAGGGCTCTTCTTCACTGGAAGTGTTTTAGCTGAGATTTGACACCTTACAGCCAGGGATGCTGTAGCTGGCTCCTGCCCTGCACAAGGGTGGACTGGATGATCTCTAAGAATGTGTCCATCTCCATGGTTTCCTTTGTGTTGTTGAAGAGAGGCTGATGTCGAGAGAAGGATAGCTCGGCTGAGGGTGCCTGGAGCAATTTGTGGCCAAGATTTGAACTGGAAACGTTCTGATTCAGAGCATATACATTTGGCTGCTAAGATCTGCTTTAGGAGATGAGGTCTAAGCTGTGTGTAAACTATAAGCTACTTGTAAATTTTTGAATACCAGATAAGTGTGAGTGCCGTTTTCATCTGCAAAATGGTGCAAAGGTGGGGAGGGAAGCCTGCTCCATCACTGTCAGTGTCCCAGTAGCAATGCCTCCTGCCTCAGACTGCCTTCAAACTTTCAAGGAACCGTTGCCACTCCTGTTCATGAATAGCCCGTATCATGGTAAATTCAGCCTTAAGCTGGAAGATACACATTCATTGTTTTGAGAAGTGGGGCATTTTGTGCCCGAGTCCATAAAGGAGGGGAGAATTTGCTTCCTTATTTTATGTTTTTAATACCTTCCTTTGACAATAATAGGGCTGGATGGGGTATTCCCCTCTTGCAGGAAACCCAAGGAAGCTTACATAATCCCTTTCTCTCTGTTTATCCTTGCAACCATGCTGTGAGGTAGCATCACTTGAGAGTCAGGAACTGGTCCAGAACCACCCAGTGAATTTCATGGATCGAGCGGGCAGAAGGGGAAGGCTAAAACTCAGATCTAGCATGTCCCAGTCCAAACATTCCCAGCATCACACCACTCTGGCTCTCGGTTCACTTTCTCCCACGGCATGCTTCTTGTGTGCGAATCTGCAAACTTTTAGGAAGTCACTGGACTCCCAGAGCATCCCGGGTGTGACCATATCAATTCACATTCCTCTATCCATAATGGTATGGATAAGGCGTGCGTGTGTGTGTGAGTGTCTGCACGTACATGCAAGCATTCATGTCCGGGATTTTTACCTCTTTGAAATCTTTTTTTGCTTGGAACAGACCCCGTGCCCAAATGCCTCTGGGCATGTACATAATTAACTGAACATAATGAATAATTAACACAGAAAATGCAAGATAAAAGAGGAAGATCAAATGACAGAGATCCAACTTGGATGCTCTATCCGTAAGGCATCTGAGGAAGGATAAAACATGAAGGTTGGTCAGTCCAAACCAGCTCAGTGAAGGCCAAATTTAAATGGCACCATTCACACAGTTGGCACTTTGGTCAGCATTTGAGGGGCTTTGCTAACCGAGTAAATGGTATTGTGTGCACTGTGAACCAGATTAGGATGGTTGTCCCCAACCCCACAACTTTAGGAGTCTGAACAAGATCACTTTAATGTTGCAACTTGCTGTTTGCTTTTAAACATGAATGGCATTACATATACTTTGGCCCCAAGATAGGCGAGAAATTGGCAAAAAACTCGAACTCCGTGCTGCATTTGACTCCCTCCCCCTTTCTTCCCTTCGTCCGAGAAAGTCATAATTAGCTACTCATTGATTTTGTTTTGTTCTGGCAGAAAGATAGATGAAATTCATCTTGCCCTGCAGGTGCTGCGTAGCATGATTGATGTTTGCCAAGTAGCATAAAGCAAAACAAGGGACCGGACAGGACCCTAGTTGTCTTGTTCCTAGTGACAACCTAGATCAGCCACCCCCAGTTTGGTGCCCTCCAGATGCGTTGGCTGGCTGGGGAATGTAGGGCCTTGTAGGCCAACCCACCCAGAAGGAACCAGTGGGAAGCTCAGTGGCAGAGCAGGCCCTTGGCAGGCAGAAGGTCCCAGGCTTAATCCCAGCTTCCTCTGGTAAGGCAGGAAAAGGAGCCTGAAGGTTTCTCAGACACTGGAGAGCGGCTGGCAGATGGGGTTGACAGTGCTCAGCTAGACGGAAAAACTGGCTTTGCTCAACCTAAGGCAGCTTCTGTGCTCCTGTCATCCCTTGATATAGTAATAGCGGTTGCTCCAAATTCTGTATCCACTACAGGGGGAGACCTTGTCTGTGGTGGTCTCCTCACTTCTTTTTTCTTCTCTTCTTGAAATGAGGGCCTCCCAGGGTAGGCTAGCTCCCTATTGTAGCTTTTTGATGCTTATATCACTGCCTTTCCCCTGCAAGAAGGCAACTTCACTTCTGTGCTTCCACTGATCTTAAAGAAATAGCTTTCTGAACTGCCGCCTTAAGAGGCGCATTTGGTGGTGGCCCAAAAGAGGTCTTCTTGGTGGCTTCTGCCATGCTATGGACCTCCCTGGCATGGGAAGCTCATTTCACTGTCTCATTTCAGCTTCTCTGCTGTCCTTTTGCTCGTTTTATTGAACCAAGCCTTGATTGTGTAAGTGAGTCTGTTGGAGTACATTGGGTTTTGATCTGCTATTGTTGTGTTTTAAATTGTGTTGTAATGAGTTTGCTTTATTATTGTTTTAATCAAGCTTGATTCATGATTGCAAGCCACCTTGAGGGCCATTCTTCTTGGTGGGAAGGTGGACACATATCAAAGCAATCAACAAATGATCTAGGTGTGTTCGCCAGTGTATCACAGCACCTTACATTACAGTTGCCTTCAGGCTCTGCCTGCTAATGGGGTTTTGGTAAGAAGCCTTTGTCTTTCTCTTCAAGGTGATGAAGCTGAGGAAGCTGGCCCAGCAGGTCGCCAACTGCCGACAGTGCCTGGAGCGGTCGACCGCCCTCATCAACCAAGCTGAGCATATCCTGAAAGAGAACGACCACGCACGGTTCCTGCAGACAGCAAAAAACGTGGCTGAGAGGTATTTTCTGGAGGGTGTGCAGCATAATTTCACACGTGGGTGGGTTAGGGATTCCTGATTGGCCCTTGCCCCTACTCTTCTCCCCAAAGATAGCATGACTCACTGCACTGTAAACTCATAGATTTTGTGCAGAGTCATGTTTTTTATTGTTCACCATCTCTGATGCACTACAACTCTATCATCTAAAGAAGAGGACTGGGAATAAGGCCAGGATAACCCAAAGGAAATATGGCTGTGGGGCAAAGCCTCATAATTCTGTGACTCTCCTTACCATCAAAGCATTGAACAGGATTTAAAACTGTGGCAAAACAGTCTAGAAGGATAGGCTGTTAGTAGCCAGTAGTCATGATAGCTAGGAATGGAACTGCCTTCTCTTGAAGCAGTGGTATCCTAGATTATCAGAAGGTGGGGACAAACAGATAACTGACTCCATATTGACCCACCTATACACCCACAAGAGTTGTCCAGCAGACAAGTGTCAGGGACAGGATACGAGCGATGGACAGACTTTGTCTGGTCCTGTATTGCAGTGCTCATATTGTTAAGCCACTAACAAAGCCCATCTTTGCCAGGGGAATCTGTGGCCCAGCAAATGTGTTGGCTCACGACTTCCATCAACCCGCACTATTGACTGTCCTGGCTAGGGCTCGTTACAACTGGAGGGCCACAGGTTGCCCACCCCTGATCTATGCCGTTCGAGTTGCAGTGAGCCACATTTCCGTGCAGCTCAGGAAGCAAGCACCTGCTCTGCATGCAGAGATCCTTGGCTGGATCTCTGACATCTCCAATTAAGAAAAAAATACATAGCATTTTCTGGGAAAGGGTTCTGCCTGACTCCCCAGAAAATCACTGTATTTGCGAGAGTAGCAACAGTAGGTGAGAAGGAGAAGCTGTTTCATCTGGTGTGAGGCAGTATCCTATATTTGGAACATATGAAGGATTTAGACATACAGCTGGTAAGTTTTCATAGGAAGAGATTCATTTGTGACCCAGAGAAAGCAAGGAGTACAAACAGAAGGAAGGATTGTGAGCAGTTAAAGTAAGGGCTGTCAGAGGCATCTCAAATGATTCTGGATTTATTGGGGTCCTCCCCATGGATTCTACAGTGGATCAGTTTTCCCAGATTACATGGATCTTTTTTTCATTTTGCATAGTTTTTCCCGAATATATTGGACTGAAAATATGCAAAGTGTTTAAAAAGTTGTCAAGAATGCTAGAATCCCCCTATAAAGTGTGCAAACACATGTTTTGGGGTGATTTGCACAAACCCGAATACCTACAAATGCATTCACACAAGTTTTGAGCAGCATGTTGATGGACTGACAATGGAGCAAAGGCTCCTGAGAGTGTGCAAAGCTTTGGTGGTTTTTGCTCTGTTTGCAAAAACAAAGTCCACCCCATTTTGATTTGTTTACCTCCCTGTAGTGAACAACACTGGTGTTGATGATCCCAGCTGTTTGCTCCCCTGCCGCTTTTTGGGGGAACAGCAGGCTCCCCTAAGGAGAAGCCCAGTTACTCACTAGCCACAGGAAGAGCTGTGCAGGATCAGGCCAGGAGTTTACCCAGCCTAGCATTCTGTTCCCACAGTGGCCAACCAGTTGCCCGTGGAAATCCAGAAGCAGTGCTGAGTCCCAGGCATATTCCCCACTAAGTAGCCACTGGGTGCAACTTGAATCTTGGCTAACTCTTCTGTTCAGTCTTCTCTCTGCTCCTTTTCCTGCTGCTGTAGCTCGCCCAGCATCCTCGCAAGGGAGGGAAGAGTCTGGGGTTTTGTAGCTTTCAATTATTGACCAATTTAATGAGGACTTTCCTTTAAGTACACACGAGCGCCTCCAGCTCAGCCAAATTAACAGCTGGGAGTGGGAGCTGCTGCTGCTGTGTCAGCCCCCCCCCCCCCACAAAGAGATCAGAGAGAATGTGTAAGTGGGCCATCTCCCATGAGCCCAAGGAAGGCAGCGAAAGCCAACAGGCTTGTACTTGGATCGTTGCTGCCAACCTGAATCAGGTGTGTGGTTGCCTTCGGGTGTTGTAGCCCCAGGTAATTGGTGGCCAGCTTCTAGCAACAAAAACGGGTAGAGACTCAACTCCTCCTAGAAGCCTTGTTCTCTGATAGATAAATTCTGCCTTCCTAACCTGCACCCTGGTTATCCCATGGCAGCCAGATTCAGAAGGACCCTTTTCCTTAGTCCTTCACATGTTCATTAACGAGTCCATGGACTGACCCCTGAGAGAGAGGCCAAGCTGAAAACCCACAAGGAGAAACAAAAACACTAGGAAACAGAAAATTTCTGTGGAAAGCAGTGGAATTAAGAAATTAAAGGTGGGCCTCATATTATAGGTGGTAGTGAAATGTGGGTCTGAGGTCTGAAAAGCTGAAGATCTGGAGGATTTGAGGACCAGACCAAGTCCCGTGGCAAGTGAATGTAATGAGAAAAGGAGTCCGATGGGTGGAATTTTTAAAAGGACATTTAAAAGGCACAATTATGCTGTAAGCCATCCAGGGACACAAGTAACTGGATGGCATACACATTTAATAGATAGATAGATGATAGATAGATAGATAGATAGATAGATAGATAGATAGATAGATAGAAAGAAAGAAAGAAACAATTCCAACAAGGGAAAAGGGTAGTCATCCACAGAAGGCGCCCATGTGAAGCCAATAACAGGCTCAAGTTAGAGGAAGCCAGATTCCTGCTAGATATCCTGAAAAAATTCTGACTTTTAGAGCAGTACAACAATGGAACCCATGCCTAGGAAGCTTGTGGGCTCTCCCAGATGAGGTGTTCTTGGTGCAGCTGGACAGGCATCTGGGAGGGATGGTTTGACTTGGAGTCCTGCAAGGACTTGGAGAGTGGACACGATGACCTTCCTGGAGCCTTCCAACTCTACTATTCCATGGTTTCATTCTATGCCTTTCTGATATTTGCAGCCACTTCTGGCTAACGGGATGTGTGTGACTGTTGTGCACACCCACAAAAGAAGTGGGAATGGCGGGCTGGGTGCACAACCACTCAACTGACAGTCCCTTGCACAGGCAACTGGATCTCAAGTTCTGCATGTCTCCCCTACAGCCCTTGCTAAAATTTACATCACTCCAAGGCTGTTTGCAGCTCTTTAATCAAAAATCAAAGTGCCGCCTGGGAGTTGCAAACACCACCTAATGTATATTGATGCTCTTTTCTGTCTTTCAGGGTCGCCATGGCAACTGCATCCTCTCAAGTTTTGATACCCGATATCAATTTTAACGATGCCTTTGAAAACTTTGCTTTAGATTTTTCCAGAGAGAAGAAACTGCTGGAGGGGCTGGATTATCTAACAGGTTTGTGCCGATTCTACAAGCCCATCTTTCTCCCCGACACCCCGCCTTGGTCTGCTTCAGTGCCGTAAAGCTCTGTGAGAGAGGATGGGGGAAGCTTGCGGAGGCTCCGTCACAAGCATGCAGCTCTTACGGGAAATGTTTGCTCTTTAAATCCAATTATTTCTTACAGTACATCTTAACTAAAAATTAACATTGTTCAGAGAAATGTGATGTGTTTCCAGGATTTCCATTTAAAATATTATTTCAGGCTCTGCAGCCTGTCTTTGATGAAAATACACACAAGAGTTTTGACATGGCAGCTGAGTTTTAATTAGTCTCTTAACCTGATTATGCTCAGTGTGTGCTGTTGTTACATCTAATATCGAATTTCTCTGTCTTCTTAGGATATGTAACCCCTGCAGCCATCTGCTGCCTTATGCTCAAGGATCACCAAATTGCTCTTGCAAAATTTCCTGATGCGCATAAACTATAGATTAATGCACACTAGTTGGTCTGTAGAAGACCTGTCAGGAAAAGAAATAACTGGCTAAGATATTAACATAGAAACAGAGCGAGTCAGAAGGGTCCTCCCGGGCCATCTAGTCTGACCTCCGGCACCAGCCGGCTCCGCTCATGACATGCCCACCATGTGGACGTCCAGCCTATCCTTGAACACCTGCACCGATGGGGCCTCACCGACCTCTCATGGAAGCCCATCCCACACCCTCGGGGTCCTGTCAGGAAGTGCTTCCTGGCATCCAAACAGAACCTTGGCTCCCTGAGCTTTGCTCCGTTGGGGTGCGTCCTGCCTTCCTTCCTTTTGGGTGGGTTCACATGACAGAACAAATCACAGTGATTTTTTTAACCACTGTCATGTCATCCAAACATGATGTGTTTGTGATATTTCAGTGTGGGTACATTTCAATGATATTGTGATACTTCAATATGGTATGTTTGGTTTTCAGAAAGCATGAACAGAAATAACAATCTGTTCTATGCTTTCTCAGTACCACAATGGCTTGGTGCTTCATCCAAACTGGGTACTGCCATCCATCTAATCCTCGCCCCTCCTCCTCATGCAGGTAAGGGGCTTTCCACAGGTGCATGCCAAGGGGAGCAGCGGGGGGATCAGCCGAGTGGCACGGCCTTCAACTGGGCACTGCTACTCAGCTGGTTCTCACCTCTCCTGCCCAGGTGGCTAAGAGGCTTCCCTCCAGCACATGCCCAGCAGATGTCCCCTCTTTTGCCACGCTTCCCTGCTCTGGTGATCTCCTGGAGAGCCGAAGGCAGAGGTGCCCGGCCACCTCGCTCAGCCTCTCTGCTTCGCTTCCGGGCCTGGCAGCCACGGCAGGCTGTTTGGTTTGTGATCCTGGCTGTCAAAGAGAGGGGCCTCATTTCTCCCCACGGTGTCTCCTGAGATCCCTCCTGGAGAACTAAGAGGAAAGGAAATGGAGGGAGGAAGGAGAGTTCCCACCATGAGCCTGATCATTGGTCAGGCACATCAAGATGGGAAAAAGAAGTGAATGGTGGTAACCACAAAGGGGTGTGTGTTGCGAAGTGTGAACCTAGCCATTGTGTCCTCCTGGGAAGGGCACAAAAGATGCAAGTCAGTGCAATTTTCCCTTGCTGGGTTTGGGGAAGGAGGATCCAGGCAAAGACCTTGGGCCAATCAAAGGCTTTTCACCTAACCTACTTCACAGGGTTGTTGTGAGGATAAAATAAAGGAGGAGGAGGATCATGTAATCTCCTTGGGATCTTTGCAAGAGGACAAAAGGCAGAATATAATTGGGATGTGATGTAGTAACAAGCTTGGTCATCCGCCAGTTAAGGATCTTTAAGTAAATTGGATGTCTAGCTTTTAAGCAGATGGGTCTATCAATTAACTGATTTAAGTAGCGTGTAATTACATAATGCCGCACTGCGTAAAGGTGCTCTTTGACAATTCTGAATGAAGCTGACCTCATACAAGAATTAAAAACTTCCGCTCCAGCAGTCTTTCCAGGGATATTGAGGGGATGCCCCCACTGCTATGGTGGAGGTGCCAGCCAATCAGTGTCCTGGTGCAAGGGGCCAACCAATCAGCACTGTGCACAGCATTTCATGCAGCCTGGCAAAACTGATTTCCCTAAGTTTGGTCCTAAAGAAGACCTTTCTGATCTGTTCATGACTTAGTGGGGTCACTTCCGCAGTGGCTAGACTGCTCAAATAATAGCTCAAATCATAAATAATACTGGCTGCCCCTTTTATCACTTTGGATCTCTTCTGAGTTTCTGTGCTGTGGTTGCTAGCATGGCTACAGGAATTGTGTAAGGAAGTGCCAAAGTGCACAAGGGTCACATTCGGAAAGCTGCTGATGGACTGAGCTGTTGTGTCTCCTCTTGCCCCCACAGCACCCAACCCACCTCTGGTCCGTGAAGAGCTTTGCACTGCCTCCCACGACACGATCACTGTCCACTGGATCTCAGATGATGAGTTCAGCGTCAGCTCTTACGAGCTCCAGTACACCATCTTCACCGGCCAGGCCAACTTCATCAGTGAGTACACACAGTAGAGCACCACCTCTTCGCCCTGCTCCGTGAAGGCTGCCACATTGGCTTTACTCTGCCACCTCCCTGCACAAACAAGCTGAAAAGTTGTGTAGGACTTGGGGCAGTGCTGGATTTGCCCTGTGGAAATTATCGAAGCAAAGAAGATGCATTGATGTGGGAAAGCCCCTTCTCCTTCCCTCACTCCCTGTCCACTGCCATCTTTGCAGGGTGAGCCTAGCCAGTTTGGGATCAGGCAAACGTTGCCATAATGTCATATCAACACACAGCCCATCAGGTTTGTGATAGCATCACCAAGTCAGGTCCAAGTAAGAACGATGCTTCTTGAGAGACTAATTCACTCTGGATGTGTGAGGAATCCAATGTGTTTCATGATTCAGCCCTTTCCTTTGGATTTTGGTTTGTCAGCACTGCACTGGTGCCAACTCACTGGACTGTGAGTCAAGCCAGTCCTCAGGCTCCCTGCTCTAAGACAGGCTGCAATTTGTGTGTTTTTGAAAAGACAAAGAACTAAGAAAATCGATGTGCAAATGTATTGTGCAAATAAGCACCTGGAAAACATGTGCTCCCACAAACTGCATGAGGACCACAGACTTTCAGGTGAAATTTGGATCTGCAAAACACTGTGCTTTGCACAAATGGCAGGACGTGGCACAACATTTTGTAAACAGCACAGTTTACACCAATTACTTAGTGTTTGAAAAAATGCAGAAACTGTCACCTGTTTTAAAAATGGAAGTTCACAGAAAAATCCTGACCTGGCCTCCTTTCAGTCCTCAGCTTGGAAGCAAGCAGGAAGTCCATCAAGCATAAACAAGCCAGATTCCCAGTCTCAGCAAATCCCTCCAGACAAATGCGTTTGCCCTTTTTGCAATCTGCATCCCTTCATTGCAGCAGCTTGCACTGACGGGGAGGTAGGGCCATTCCATCAGCCAAGGTGGCAGACAATTGTCCCCTTTCTTCCTTCTCTTTCCCCTTTTCCTTGTATGCCATGTCTTTTTAGAGTGAAAGCCTGCAGACAGAGACAGTATTCTTTTACTAAGTATTTGTAAATTGCTCTGGGAGCCCTTTTGACTGTGGAGCAGGATAAAAATACTCTGAATAATAAAATACTTCAAATCTTCCCTGCCATCCTCTTGAGCATCAGAACCCTCCAAATCTCCCTTCCCCAGGCTCCGAGCTACAAAGGCAGGCGGGACTCTGCTTGCACCCCTCACCATTCGCTGATCCCCTAGCAAAGCGAGTGCAATGAGTGGGTTTGCAGGACTCTGGGTGCTGGGACACTGGTCTCACAGTTGCCTTGCAGGAACGCAGCGCGAGCCCAGGTGTCTCCCCTGTGTCTGGAGACATTGCAAGGGCAGGTTGGTCCTTTGGGCTGCTTCCCCGGCAGCTTCTTGTCTGAGCATTCCCTCGGTTGAGATTTTCCTGCTAAAAACTCTGAGCTACCCCAGCTCTTCGGGAGACAATTTGAAAATACTGTCATAGAGACTTATTGGCTTATTGTCATAAATAACTGCTTTACCGAGGTGCTTTTGTAGCTTCCTGTAGGTAGGAGCCCGATTGCTTGAGATCATAAAAGTCGCAGCAAATTTACAAGCGAAATCGGCACGCTGAGATTGGGTGAAGCTCGGCAGATGGCCCAGGAGTCAGGGAGCATGGGCTCTTAAAACTTGACCCGTACATGCCATAGCGTCTCTGAGCCATGAAAAATAGAATGGTTCTGTGGTCAACCTGGCTCTTTTGTGCCTGGGGGTGCATTGCCACCTAGCAGCGTCTGCACACGGCCAGGCTCTGGCTCTGGCAATCTGCTTGTGAGCTGGCCCTTAGCAATGCTCGAAAAGAATAGGAAGCCATCCTGGCCAATGGGAAGGGGAGGATTTGTTTTGTGAACTTTAAAGCAGTTCTGTAAAGGCAAGGCTTGCTTATTTCTGGTCCATAATAGCTTGTCTGCAAGGCAACCCGACAGAACACAGAAGGAGTTTAAGCTGCAGGGCAGAGAAATGGAACAGCTACAGGTTAACTTGATGTGATGGAGAGAGGGCAGGAAAGCCAACCTCCCTAGACAGTTGTTTATAAGTAATGAAACACACAGATGACCATGCGAAGAACAACAGTTACAGTAAGCATATCTTGGTGCCAATATTGGTACCATATTTCCTGGATGTCTCAGTGGATGCTTTGTTTAATCTGTCACTGATGGAAATGTTCTGGTGCAAAAATAATCTGGAAGTGTTGGCAGTTCTTTGTGCCTTGCTGGGGTTACAAAGGGAAGGAGATATATGTAATGTTGTCAGACTTGCTGAGCTGAGCTAATAACAGCTGGTCCCTCCTGTTGCTTCCACACCAAGCACTTCCCCAAACATAGCCTTGTAAGCAGAGGCAGATAATCTACTTTCTGTGCTTCATTTGAACATCTTATCTTGTTCTTGGTTTTATTATCTACCTGCTCAGTTCAGTGTGGTGGCTCAGGAGCAGTCAATGTGGTGCCCTCCAGATGCTTTGGATTACAAATCCCATCTGCCCGAGTAGCATGGCAAGTGGTAAGGGACTATAGGAGCTATGATCAACACCCTTGGAGGACACCACATTTCCCACCTCTGCATTAGATTCTCCATGTGTTCAGCCAGTGAAGAAGCATGGGCTGAACCTCTTTCAGCTGCACGGCAACACTTGGTTTCGAAGAAGCTCCTGGCAGTGGTGGTTGGGGCTGGGCAAAAGCAACAGGGCTAAAGGTGAAAGGGGCGGGGCCAAAAATGCCCTAAACTTCAGAATATTGTATCTTAAAGCTCCTGCTGCCAATAACTATGATTTGGGAGAGGCATTTTAGTCTCCTCATATGGGGAAAGAGCTGCACCAAAACGGAAAAGCTACAAATCCATTGGTTGTCAGGAAAAAAGTGAATTGCCATGTGAGGAACCCTAGGGGGGCAGGTTAGGCTCCCAGGCAAGCGGGATTTGGCCCCAGGTTCCTGCACCCCTGCTTGACTCCCTCTGTGCTCTTCCTCCTGCAGGCCTGTACAACTCCATGGACAGCTGGATGATTGTCCCCAACATCAAGCAGAACCACTACACGGTGCACGGGCTGCAGAGTGGCACGCGGTACATCTTCCTGGTCAAGGCGATCAACCAGGCTGGCAGCCGGAACAGTGAACCTGCCAGACTGAAGACAAACAGTGAGTGTCCCCCAGGGCAGGCCTTCCTTCCGAGTCATGAATGGGGAGGGGGAGCCATGATGCGAACCCCCGTGTTCTTTACAGATGTTTGGCATATTTGGGGCTGCCGCCTTAGTGGATTCTCCCTGGAGTGTCTCTCCCTCTTGTGGTTTCTCCACAATGGGGCACATCCAGATAATTCAGAACTTAACTCCAACCTGAATGTGTGGGTGGCATTCTTCTGACAAGGTTTCTGGGCTCGCTCAGCCTGTCCATTCAGGTCCCACCAGCCTAATTTGGCCGACAGAATTGCTGAATCCAACACCACCTGGATGGGAAAGGCTCGGTTGGAGGGTATTGGAAAGCTGTTTGTGAGGAATCAGTGGGGTGCAAATGGTTTGTGAACGATCCTGTTGTTGTGACATTGGATGGATCCTAAGATGAGGATGTGCACAAAACCAACATTTCCTGTCACTGCCTCCACCAAGGAGCCTGTCCCGTCCCCCCCACAACCACAAGCTTTGTTCTGCAACATTTTGGTGAGTCGACCGGACAGGCTGCAGGAGGAAAGTGTGGAGCAGGAAAGTTGTTGTTGTTTATTTACTTATATCCTGCCTTTTTCCTACAAAGGGCTCAAGGCAGCTTACATCATTCTCCTCCTCCATCTTATCCCCACAACAACAACCCTGTGAGGTAGGTTGGGCTGAGTGTCTGTGACTGGCCCAAAGTCACCCAGTGGGCTCCATGGCCGAGCGGGGACTAGAACCCGGATCACCTGAGTCCCAGTCCCACGCTCTTAACCACTGCACCACACTGATTCCTTCTGTGAACTTCCTAACATGAACCAATCTTAACATCTGAGCCATCCGACTTAACACGTTGTCTGAAATGGTGAATGCAGGCAAGTCATGCAGGGAGAACATAAGCAGGGAAGGAAGGAGGCTGCGGTGAGTCACCCTCAAGGCGCACAGAACGGGTGAGTCTCCAGCTCGCTCTCTGGGACAGCCTGGCCCAGTGCTGCTTGGCCTGCAGAACCTGAATTTCCACAAGCCCCGAGAACTTTCCTAATATCCCATAAGCTCTGCCTCCCTCTCTCTGCTTTGATGTTTCAATCTTGTCTGCCGCCTGCACTTGACTGGGTGTTTAAAATGATTTATTGCCTCCTCCGCTCCCCTCTCTCTCTGGGAAGCGCGGCGTGCGTGAAAATGAAAACCAAATTGAATCTTGCCCGTATGTGGGGTGAGTGGCTCAGTTTTGATAAAAGCCAAGGCCCAGACAGTCTCTCTCTTTTCTTTTATTATTATTGCTAAAAAATGTAGGTACTGCTCCAGTATTCGTGCAGCCTCCAAAAAGGGTGCATTGTTAGCTTGACAGATAAGTTGAATGCTAACAAACCACCCTCCTTTGGAGGAGATTTGACTCATATCAGTTGATTGTTAAGGAATGGGGGAACGGGGAGAAAGGGGGCTGGTGGGACTGGCTTGGTGCCCTGTGCTTCAGTGGAGCTATTAGAATGCAGCTAAGTGCTCCCCATCACAGTGAAACTCCATTTGCTAGATTAATCGAGCACCCAATCAAAGACTCTGTTTGGATTCTTTGCTGTGGATCTATCAGCTTTTGGCTTCCTACGCTTGTCAAATACAGAGCAGGGAATTCAGGCAAATGCCTTAGAAATGTAAAGTCCTCTGATTATATTGCTGATTTGTAAGAAAAGTCTGCGAAGAGAAGTGGTGCCTTCTCTCCCCTTCTCCACTTTTCATGCTGGGAAGATTGTCTGATGTTTGAAATGACTGGTACCTCCCAGCTCCAAACCGGGTGGTGGGAGATGAAAGGGGGCATTCGAATAGAGAGTGCTGCTGTGAATAGCAAGTTCAGGGTAACTTGGTGTTCTCCTTAGAACTGCTCAGAGGCTTCTGTGGGAGACACCTGCAGAAGCCATTCCAGAACCCCGAAGGCCATCATACGAGAATACAGTGGGGCCATTCTTAGAATCATAGAATAGTAGGATTGGAAGGGGCCAGAGGGCCATTGGGTCCAACCCCCCGCTCAGCACAGGACTGCAAGTTCAAGCATCTCTCCCAGATGGCTGTCCAGCTGCATCTCGAATGCCTCCAGTGCAGGAGAGCCCACCACCTCCCAGGTCATGGGTTCCATTGCTGTACTGCTCTGACAGTCAGGAAAGTTTCCTGACATCTAGCCAGAATTTGGCTTCCTGTAACACGGGCCTGTTGTTCTGTGTCCTGCAGTCTAGGATGGTCAAGAAGAGATCCTGGCCTTCCTCTTCCTGACAGCCTTTCAAGCACTTGAAGACTGCTATCATATCTCCCCTCAGTCTTCTCTTCTTGAAGCTAAACATGTCCAGTCCTTCCCATCTCTCCTCACAGGGCTTTGCTTCCAGTCTCCTGATCAACCTTGTTGCCCTCCTCTGAACCCTTTCCAGTTTGTCTGCACCTTTCTTCATCTGTGGTGCCCAGAATTGGGCACAGGGCTCCAGATAAGGCCTAACCAGTGCTGAGAAAAAGCTTCAATGGGAGATTTAGGACAGATCTTCATTTAGTGCATAAACTGTAGAACCATGAAACCCTCAGAGTTGGATGGCTTTAAAAGGGAGGGAATTGGACAAATTCAAGGAGGACAAGGCTATGCATGGCACCTACTCCTGATGATATACAGTAATTTTATTAGGACGCCTTTCTATGAGGCACTATGCCTCCATATGCCAGTTGCTGGGAACACAAATGGGAGTTTACTAAGGCATTCAAGTTTGTTTGTTTGTTTGTTTAAGCTCTGGAAATTGTTTGCAAATTGTGGAATCCGAAATCTGCACCTGTATCAACATGGTACAAATTTAGGTCTTTCATGGGGCCTACCTGACTTCCGAAGGCTGACCCACCACTAGGACCTACCTTCTTGCTTCCCCCGCTCACATGTCAGCTGCAGTATAATCACAAATAAGTGGATGTGCTAAAGTTTAGCGGCTAAACAGTATTTGTTGGAATATGTGCATTAGCAAAAGGAGTCAGCTATTCTCTGCATAATATTGTTGGGAAGAACAAGAGCCAGAAGGAAAGAGACTAATAAGACATGACCCCATTTGTATAGCTCATGGGAGCTGAAACATAACAACTGAAAATAATAATTAAACATATGTCTATCTGAAGTGCACAAATCACACAACCCAGCAGAAAACTGTAGTGTCGATTTCAAATTAGAACAAATTGACAATGGCAAATATGTCGGGAATATGGTGGGGAAATGGAAGTGCGAAGGAGATGCTGTATCTAGGTTACAAAATGGACGTGCAACTGTGATAAAATATTAAAAACAGTATGAGCCAATTTATGCAGATTCCAAGATATACACATCCTGTTTGCACAAAAGACATGATTTGTGCCGGTTGCACAAATCCTGGTTCTCAATTATGCAACTGTTTTGCACGCATTTCTGGAATCCCAGAAAAAAAAGGCATGCTTAATTCGCAAGGGCTGGATTGGAAATGCTGTAGAAGTCCTTTGGGCTCACACAGAATGGATTTTCCAGAGATACGCATTCCCGGTTGTGCCACTGAAACTGCTCCGAACTCAAGGAGCCAGGCAGGTTTGGCAACCGCATTCACAAGGCCAGTCTTAGTTGGGGAGACTGCAAGGGCTTCATCGTCTCATTGAGAAGGCATGCTTCTCTCCTTCCCCACAATGCACTGCGATATTTGTGTGGCTGCCATTTTTCCCATTGCTGGCTTGTGTGCAGTCATCTGTCTATGTGAGATGCATGGAAGGTCAGCCTCTTGGCCCTCCATGGCTGCCTAGAAGGCTAGAACCCCGCACCCCGGATGACCATTCCTCTGTGGCTTCCTGGTTTTGCAGCATTCCCCCTTCCACCCATTCTGAACCTAGTGGTCCGTTACTGGCAGTAAAAGCTTTACACTAATATGCTGGTGTTTGTCTGGGCCTGCCTTTTTGCCCCTTCTCTTTGTGTGTCTCCCACTGACTTAGAATCATAGAGTAGTAGAGATGGAAGGGGCCAAAAGGCCATCAGGTCCAACCCCCTGCTGGTGCAGGACACCAGTTTACACCATCCCACTCTGACGGCTGTCAGGCTCCAGACCGGTGGCCTTCAAGAACTGCTCTGAAATTGAATTTGGCCCGTGGACTGCAAGAGGTTCAATATCCCTGGTGGATGGACGGAAAGTATTCCTGTTTCTTTCTTTCTAAAATATTGCCTCCCCCACAGGCAGCTCAGAGCAGCACTTACAATATGGAAAAGTATATAAAAACCAATAAAACATTTCTGGGGGGAGTTTTATTGTGTGAAAGCTACTTCTGAGTTGATGGGCCTGACAGCCCTGCTTGAACACCGGTAGATGACTTCTGCAGTTCTCCTTCTTCTGAGAAATGTAAGATTTGTTCCCCTTTCCCCACCTACGCTGCTTGCCCTCTAGCGCAAGCATACGCTCTCCTGTCATGCATTGTTCAGGCATTTCCTAAACCTTACTAAGAGACTGGAGCTGGTAACGTCACAAAGCTCAAGAGCGCCCTGGAGGGAAAGCTGCCATCCCTGCTTGCTGCAGTCGAGTTGCACGCTAACCAGAACAGGTTCTGAGCAACTCCCGACATGCTGCCCTGATCCCCACAGCGGGTCGGTTAGTGGGAGCACCAGCCCTGCCCTCCAGTTCCGTTCTCTTCTTCCGCTTCATTTTAATCTCACAACAACCCTGTGGGGGAAGTTAGCCTTAGGAGCGCCTGGGGGGTGCATCTCTGGAGGTTTTAAAAAATGAATGCATTCCCACTCTTTTTCGTGAGTCCATGTGCCTGTACCTTGTAGTCACTTTGCCAGTCACCATAAGCAGCGCAGGCTTTACAGCCCGTGCCGTTCGAAGCCAAGGAACACATTTATGTGCGTGCTCCGTTCTCGTGCTGTGGATTGATGCTCCCATAGGACCCCCATATTCTGAATAACATTCCAATACAGGCCGCAAGCCAGAGTGTATTGACCGGCTCCCCAGCAGCAGCCTAGCCATTCTGTTTTGCGTTAACACATTTCTGACTGGCCTTCCAAGGGAGTGTCCCTTAAGATGCCCGGTGGGAACGGTTGTGGCTATAATTCCTTCCCCATTCAGTGGCACAGAGAATCTGTGCCTCACTCACTCAGTGGGTTTTCGCAGCGAGTCAGGAAGCGCATCTGAAACCTCCATCTGACACCCAGCGCAAGGAATTAGATGCAGCACATTTACAACATGTGGGGACTTTGTGCTTTGATGCAGTGTGTTTGTGGGGGTGGAAGACACGGATTGTCGGAAGGAAGGACAGGTTTTTCATTCCCCCTGCCCCTGTCTGTGTGTAGCCCGATGGCTGCATCTCGCCACTTTCGCCCAGCAGGGTCCAAAAAACCTCATTTTCTGCCTGTGATTGGTTTCTGCAGCCCAAGCCACACATGAGAGAAAAGGCTCTTGAAGCTGCGACTTTCCTTCGGCAGTACAAAAATTACTGTGAAGCCACGTGGGCGTGCTTTCCCATGTGGTGTAATGACAGAGTGTCTGTTGTGGGGAGTGGCTGGTCTTGGCTGCAGAAAGGAGGGAGAAGGGCCAGGTCTGAACGATGCGCCAGCAGTCTGCGCAGCTCCGCACCACGATTACATCGGCACTTAAGGGGGCTGATCTCTGCATACATCGTGCCTGAAGAACTCCCATTAATGCTAATAGAGGATTAAGCCTATAAGGAATTCAAACCACTTAGATCTGGTATCTCCTGGTTTGCTGGGTCTGCAGCTCCTGTTCTGCCCCTCCTGGAAACATCACACTGGAGCAACCCCGAAGCAGATGGAAGTGATATTGACCGTAAAACTGGGCCACGCGTCCAGTCAGGGCCCTTCCAGTTAAAGCCTCTGTAGGCTGCTTAGCTGTATTTTAAAGAAACATGTAGACACTTTTAGGCAGGCATCCAGAAAACATCCCCAAAGGCATCTCGGTCATTTTCATGTGTGGTGCACAAAGCTTTTTGCATGTTCAGCGTGAGTTCTGCTCTACAGCCAAATCACATGGGCCCACATTTCTAAGACTGCAGACTGTTTGTATCCCATCTTTTAGAATGAAATCTTCCCAAGGCAACTAATAAAAGTCAATAAAATACATGTATCAAACAACCAAATGTTAAAGCAAGATCAACAAATCGACAGCAGCATTTAAAAACTTATGAAAGGCAACATAAATTCATCAAGCAAATGTCAAATGAGAAAAAATGTTTTTTAAAAAATCCAGTTAAAACCCACTGCTTGTGGGGCGGGGGAGAAGGGGGAGATACAATCTTCCCAGAGGCAGAGTTCCAGAGAGGTGGATGCACCACTGAAAATACCCTATTAATGATCCTCACTGATTTAAGAATGGGCTGGACAACAGAACTTTAAGGGTTGCCTTAAGGCCTGGCCAAGTTAATGTGGGTACTTGTAGTCCTTCATGTTAAACCCAAAATATTTAGGGGTTTAAAGGTGGACTGTCAGTCCATATGGCAAGGAGGGCTTTTCCTTCTGTTTGAGAAGCGTCTCCTTTGCCTTCCCACACAGCAAGTTAACGCTGTCCTACCATCGGGAACGACAACATCCTGCTCAGTTCCTTGGTATTTATATACACAAAGGGCCAACTGTAGTGGAGGAGTCATTTGAGCAGGCGTGGAGTGGAGTGGAGTGGAGCGTTCACCAGCAGGCAAGGATTTTCCAGAGTTGGGAACAGAGCCAAGGTCAAGCATGCAGGATACCAGGCAAGGACAATCAGATGACAAGGACGCCAACCAGCAGAAGTCCCGACATGAGTTAAAGCTTTCTTTTCTTTCTGTTTTCTTCCTTTCCTCCTTTTCTTTAGTTTTGACAGCATTGTTTCATGTTGTGTTTATTACTGAATGATTTAATTGCTGTTATTGTATTATTATATTACTATTTTAACCTTTTGTAAGCCGTCCTGAGGCTTTTTTTTTTTTTTTTTGCAAAGGACGGGATAAAAATGTTTTAAATAAATACATAAATAAGAGCTGGGATACAAACAGCTGGAGCTGGGAACAAGCCAAGTTTTGAGCAAAGTCAAGGTGGCAAATGTGGGCTTATATGTTCTTTAGGAGGGTCCCAACTTTAGGTTGCCTCCCAACTTCCAGAAAGACTCTCAATGCTGATTTTGTTGTGCTTTTCTGCTGCCTGCACCCCAGAGATTGTTTATGAGGCTAGTTGTGCTAGTTGCAAATCGGCTTTCTTGCAATAGTGGCAATGATTGTGTCTTGGAGAAGGAAATAGCAGACAAATGCCTGAGCAGGTAAGTTGCCTCAAGAAAGGTTTCACCGGTGGTTCCCGACTTGGTGCAGTCAATCTGTCTGTGGTCCTTGCAGGCCAGCCCTTCAAGCTGGATCCCAAGATGGCCCACAAGAAGCTCAGGATCTCCAATGATGGACTCCAGATGGAGAAAGATGAGAGCTCTCTGAAGAAGAGCCACACGCCTGAGAGGTTCAGCGGGACGGGGTGCTATGGCGCGGCGGGCAATGTCTTCATCGACAGCGGCTGCCACTACTGGGAGGTGACGGTGGGCGCCTCCACCTGGTAAGCATCTCCCTGCTGGTGCTGCACCTGTGCAGGTGACTGATGGGGCAGAGGGTGGGCGGTCTCTTTGCAGGTGCTGGTCAGCGGGGCTGGGCGGGCGGGTGGGCGGGCAAACGGCACTTGCAGGGTGGTAGGATAGCCCTTGTCGGACACCTGCTCCTCACTCCGGGGGGGTGACATGCAGCCCTCCAGGTGCTTCGGCCTCTGACTCCCACCAGCCCAGCCGGCACAGCCAGTAGCAAGGGATGATAGGGCTTGGAGCACCTTCCCTTCAGGATGGGTGTTGAGCTTCTTTCAGCCCAATGGGTGAATTATGTCCTAGTGATGGACAGAGCTGAAGGCGTGGGACCAAAGGCATGGAGCTCGGTCCAAATGCCAGGATACCGTTGCTTAAAGCTCTCCCTGCCAGTGACTCAGCCTTAGAAGGAGCATTCCAACAATCTGCAGTGAGGAACAAAAGAAACACCCACCAATTCAGGTTGGAGGAGAGGGTATGGAGTCCAAGGAAGAGGGCGTGGGTGCCTGAGGAACCTGATAGGGCTGGGGTTTGCCTCTGGGCTTAAGGATCAGCACCCCTGATATTTCCTTATGCCCGGTCCTCAACCACAAAATCCAAAGACTGCTGTTTAAAAGAGTCCTGGTGATGTACGAAACCTGAGCAAAGCAAAGAGTTTAATATCACAAGAACACAAGCAGTCCATCTTTCTTCTTCCACTTAGCAGTCACCCAGACATTCCTGAGAAAGCCTCTGGTATTTAGAAGTACACTGTCCCTGAACATGGAGGCTCTGTTTTAGCTTTTGTGACTAATAGCTGCTGTGTGTGGTTGATATTTAAGCGTAGCAGCTGCCAGTCACCAGAAGTACAGTGTTTGTGGCTAACATACTGTCCCACAGCAATGAAAGCGACAGGGCTCCTTAGCCAAGCAGCTTCATATTGGATCCCGAAAGGATCGAATGTATGTATTTGACTAGACTGACCATTTAGGAAAAGCGCTATATAAAGTATGATTGCCACTGATGCCGAAGGGAATGTAGTCTCCAGGCTTAACGCCAGGAGTAGATTGCAGCTTCCTGTGCTGAGCCTACAAAGGTTGTCCTCTTGTCATCAAGCCTCCTTGGCAACTCCTGGATGGGTTTCTGCCAGCACAGCATCGTAGGATAGCATGTCCCATGGCTAGTGCAGAAGCTGTATCGATTTCATTAGCGAGTAGTTTTGCAAGGAGCTGTTCTTACTTTGAAAACACGCACGTTTCTCTGAAAGCTGCCCGTGCACAGTCTCTGTCGCTGAAGGGCTTCATTTAAAAATACGTGTTGGCAGCAGTAACCGTGCCGGCTGTATGCACCCCTCCGAGGTACGTGCAAGAGACGCAGGGCTCGTTCTGTGCTGCAGGGAGGGAGGGTGCAGATAATTGAGCTGGGGTACGGCTGCAATTCAAAGCCAGCCTCCGGCGTGTGTCACACAGAAATGCATTGATCAAAGGCACAGTGTGGACCTGCCATTTCCAGCAGTGGAAACATCGCCAGCGTCTGTGCAGTTCCCTAGCTGCTCTTCTCCAAGCTGGTATCTACGTGTCTTTTGCTTACCCCCACAAAGGACAGGATTCAGTTTGCAGGGGGGCAGGGGGCAAGGCCTGTCTTGGAGCTCCTGAGAACCACCTCTGAGGCTTGTGCGAGCCCCCCCCCCCCCCGGCTCCTGCTGGTGCTGAGCCTTGGCCAAGAGGTTGAGAACAGGATGCGGGATCAGATCGTTTTGATTCATGGCCTGCCCAAAGGTTCCCAGAGGGTAATTGCAAGCTTCAAATACAAAACATTTAGGAATGTGGATGCCCGTTGCCCATGCTAATCCTTCTCTTTTCACCATCATCATGTCCTCTTATTTAAGGAAAGGTCATAGTGATTCATTTTTATTTATTCCATTTCATTTCTGTAGTGCCCAAGGACCGAAACTCTCTGGGCTGCTTACAACTATTCCTAAAATGTTTTAGAACACTTACATGCTGCTTCCCATTTAAAACACCCCGAAGCAGCAGATGCCATGTTACAAGCCAGGGCCTCATTAAAGGCACAACAGCATTTAGATGACCTAATAGCTGGGAAAAACAGGGGCAGACAAGCCCGCCTTTGGTAAGCATTGAAAACACATGATTGCCTCTGATTGTATCCGGAGGAGGACACCCCAGAGTGCGGGAGACACTCCATTTTTATTTTACACCTTTTCTGTTTATTTATTGTCTGTTCGATTATGTTGTAAGCCATCCTGAGATGCTGTTAAGGACGGGGTAGAAATGCTGTAAATAAAAATAAATAAAATGAATAAAAGAACTTCACATCCTCTGCAGGGCTGTGACACCTGAGGTCCACAGACCAAATCTAGCCTGCCAAGGTCTCCCAGGTGGCCCTGCCCTGTTCCTCTGGCCCCGTTCCCTTTTCCACCAGCCTCCCATTATTCCCTAGTGGTTCCCTAGCTCTTGTGCAGCTTCTTCCCTGTACTAATAGGTCGAAATGCCTCTCAAAAGGCCTAGTTACTAACAGGAATCGCTTGATGCTTCCGTGTGCTGGCATATTTGGGAGGTGGGGTTGAGTCTTTTGTCTTCAGCTCAATCCATCACTAGAATGTTCTCCCCTAGAATTTCTTCCAGACAAATTTTGGCCGTCAGGCTGAAAGACGTTCCCCATCCCTACCGTTGCCTCTTAAGTCCATCATATCCAGCAATGCCTGGCTTGTACCTCTGCAGGGATGGAGTGAGGAAATTGCACTGCGGAAATGAATTTCAAGTCCTCCCTGCCTGTGAGATCTAGCCCAAGTTAGGGAGGGCTGAGCTCAAACTGCTTTGATGTTCGCATTTTGTTCATGCAGAAGGAGGTTTGCATGTGATGGGGGAATGACTGAACAGTTGATCCTGTCCATGCATTGGCGTAGCGGATGAAAGTCTCTTGTCACTTGATTTTCTAAACGCACATCTCAGTGTTTAGTTAAAGGTTCTGGCCGGTTTCGAGAGGACACGATTCTGAGGGTGGCTCTTGGTGCTTCCTTGACATCCGGGAGAAATGAAGAGGTCACTCTGTCTGTCCGTCTGTCTGAGCGTGGAAGCAGAAGGGCTGCATTTGCAGGGTCTAAGGAAACCTGTAGAAAGAGCTGTGCTGCACCTCGCAGGCTAGTCTGCAAGACGTACTGGATTTTTCCAAGAAGCCTGCTTTAGCGGCTGCACAGAGTGGGGAGAGAATAAGTAGGAGTTCTGCTCTTGGGCTCAGTCACTGTGGGAGAGGACTAAGCAGAGCAAAGCAAGTCCTGTAGGTGAAGGATGCTCCATGGGACCTGCCTGGTGAAAGGCGAGGACGCACTCCATCGTTTTCCCATTGTCTGCGCTTGATGCAGCATGAAATTAGGAAACTGGCTTAGTTGCTTTAGCAGAGAAGGGAGAGCATGGGCCAGTTCCCACCATGTATGTGCACGTGTGTGTGTGTGTGTGTGTGGATTTCACTTGCTTGCTTGATTAATAACCCGCCTTTCCACAGGTTCTCAGGAGGCTTCCAACAAGTCAAACTTACTACAGAACAAATAAAAACAAAGCATTAACCCAAGAGCATTGCAGCCATCACAGCACAAGTGCCATAAAAATAGCCAGTAGAATCAAAACAGACCTGAGCAGGGTGGAGGCAAGGTGTGCAGGGTTGAGAAACCTGGGGTTCAGAGCAGTCTTCGCCGGTCACCAAAATGGCATCGAGACAGGGCTGGGTGAGCCTCTCCAGGTAAAGCATGTCCCCACCAAGCAAGCCCCTTCCTCTGTTTCACATGCCGCATTTCAAAAGGGCGGGATGCCCACCCAACAGTGACTTAGTTCAGGATGTTTTTATCCCTTCCTCCATGGAAGGGAGGAAGGTGGCACTCATTATTTATTTATTTGGAGTTTTTATACGCCGTCCCATCACTTAACGCCTCGGGACGGCTTGCATAACCTCCCCCTTCCCCCTTTTCATATCTACACAACAACTCCCTGGGGTACAGTTAGGCTGAAAGAGAGAAAGACTGACCCACGGTAACTCATTGAGACTCATGGCTCCAGAATACAGAATATGAATCCAGAATACAGACCTCCCTGGTTGGCATCCAGTATCTGGCCACTGTGCCACCCTCACTGAGTCAGAGCAGGTACTCATTCCAGTTCTTGTCACTTGCTCCAGCTGGTCTCCTTAACGCACGTCTTGGTCCCCCCCCCCCCGCAACCTCCCCAGGTACGCCATCGGCATCGCCTACAAATCAGCCCCGAAGAATGAGTGGATCGGCAAGAACTCCTCTTCCTGGGTCTTTTCCCGCTGTAACAATAACTTTGTTGTGCGGCACAACAACAAGGAGATGCTCGTGGACGTTCACCCACAGATGAAGCGCCTGGGTGTTCTCCTGGACTACGACAACAATGTCTTCTCCTTCTATGACCCGGCCAACTCCCTCCACCTCCATACCTTCGAGATCGCCTTCATCTTGCCTGTCTGCCCCACCTTCACCATTTGGAACAAATCTTTAATGGTTGTCTCGGGTCTGCCTGCCCCAGACTTTATAGACTACCCTGAGCAGCAGGAATGTAACTGCCGGCCACAGGAATCCCCGTACGTTTCAGGGATGAAGACCTGCCATTGAGGAGTCAGGAAGCCCTATTCCCCTTCCAGCCAGGCCTCAGGAACTTCTGCGCAACAAGGCTGGGAGGTGGCCCCGTGTCTCCTCATCTGGCCGACTTCTGGGTCCTGATGGGACTTCCCCAGTTGGAGGGGGAGCGTGTGCTCATGGGGCAGGGGTGACGGACTAAGCTTCATTTTACGTTATTTTATTATTTTTTGCTAGCACTACTGAATTTTCTCCAATGGAGTTGGCATGTCATGCTCATTTCTGGGTAGGGAAAGGGTGTGGTGACAGAGAGTGGGGAGGGTTGGTTTTTCTCAGCTGCCAGGAAGTTGAAGAATTAGTTTTCTACTGTATGAAAAGGGGTGCGAGGGGAGAAAATTCTTGGGGTACTTTGCAGTTCACCAAACCACCATTTTGAGAGAGAGCCCGTCAGGACTGGAAGCCTGTAAAACGGAGGCCTGCCCTGCATCCTGCAGTCATGGGTGACAGGTGCGCAAAGGGAGGGTTCATTTTACCTTGGCGCAGATGTTGCTTCTGTACATTTAGGCCAGGTGTGGAGCAGAGCTGGAGCTAGAGCAGGGCCCACAGAGTCCCGGACCCAAATCTCTTCCCTAGGAGCCCAGCTTTATTACACAGAGTCAGAGGATCTGTGGATGCCAGTGGAAGATTCCTTTCTTACTTCAGTTGCCATGCAGGGAAGGATTAATAGGCTGGACCCCCCCCCCCCGCCCCCCACATTGCATCCTCTAGCATGACAATTAAAAAAAAATCTGTTGGTTCTAGTGGAAGGTTTTTTCCTAAGGTTCAGTGCATGGGATGGAGATAATTTTCCTCTAACAAGAAAAGAAAAAGCTGTCCCACCCTCTGCAAACTAATTGTAGTTGGAGAGGAGCTACTGGTTTGCAATAACCTGGGGCAGGGTACAGAGTAACTGAATAGTACCTTGGATGAGAAATTAATTGGCTGGTTTTGCCTCTTGGAAATTGTAAATAAATTCTAGTAATTATTGCTAAATAGGAATATATTGGTATAAATGAGCACATGAAAATGTGATGTGCATCTGTGACCTATGGGTGCAGGACCTGAGTGTTTAACTGCCTAGCAATGCCCCTGCAAGGGCGGAGGGGGGGGAGGCAGGAGCACACCTGATAGCTCTTCCTCCAGCATTGCCCCCCCTCCTGCTGTCTCCCTGAGTGTCCACATTACCTGGCGAAAGGGGGCTGATAAGGGGGCCGGGCCCCTCCAGAAAATTAGAGGCCTGGCCATCAGGTGCAGCTCTGCTCCCACAAACTCTAAATGCACGGAGACAACATCCTCAGAGAGCACTTTGATAAATGCAGTGCCTACATACTGGAACGCCTTGGCCAATCACAGCTTGCATGCCTGCATGTTTACAGGCAGGGGAAAATTACCTGTGGCTGTGAGGGGTGCAAACTGATTTTATTTCCTGCTCAGAAGTGCCTTCCATGCAGGGACTTTGTAAACATGGGAAGCAGCCCAAAGTAGCATGAGGGATGTGCTCGGAGATGGGCGAAGCAGCCGCCATTTGGAAGGTTACAATTACTGTGCCGTATCTGCCTTTGGAGAGATGAAGGTATTGGGCCCCTGCCCCTTGACCACAGAGGCTGCAGATTCCAAATGCATTTTCCTATCCGGGTTGGGTTTGACAGACAATTTTTTTGTCCTTAATAACAAAATGTCTGACCAGCAGCTGGGATTGCCTCAAGCAATGAGAGGCCCTCTAGTGCTCCCGGCTTCTTTTCCCTGGAATGCCTCTGGATGACGGGGAATTTGGAGACATTCTTCGGAAACAAAGGTAGCAGGTGGTTGCTGGCTGTACTGTACTGCCTTCTGTACTGTATCCATGTTGTGATGGTGCCCAGGAGAATTCTGCAGTTTCTGATGTGCCCACCAGACCAAAAAGGTAGCCTCCTTCTGAGTTCCTCAGACTTGGCATCCCAAGTAGTAAGAGGCCGAAAGCAAGCCTGGGTCTCACCAGCAACTTGGCAAGGCCATTTGATTTGAGGTCGGCCTTCTGCCCGGAACCCGGAACATTGGAGTTCCTTGGAACAGGGCAATTCAGTGGCTCCTGCCTGGGTTGAGGGCCATGCATTCATATCCTAGCTGGCCTTCACACTCTAAAGGGTGGCCTAGATGGATGGTGGAGCTGGGAAGCATCTAGAATAGCTCTCCCCACCATGGGGCCCTCCCCGTGTGTGGGGGAGAATCCCACTGGCTGTTCTGGCTGGAGGTGATGGAAGATGTGATCTCAACACATTTGTGTGTTGGCCGTGGTGGCCAACACCGTTGCAGCAGATGAAGCAGTGTCCTGAGAAGAGGGGGACTTGGAAGGGAGAGGTCAGCCAGTGGGTAGAGCGAGCCACAGTGCACAGGCAAGGCCGGAGTGGCAAGGCATCTTTCTTGGCTCAGTGTCGCACATGGTCTGTAGCCTCCTCTGTGCTTTCTTTCCCTGGGTGGTGATGGGGAACTCGGTGGCAGTCGCGGTAACACAAAATAGATTCCAGGCATGGGGTGTCCCGGTTGGCATCATGATTGGCTGTAGGCCGTGCCAAGACATGGAGGGGAAGCACAGGGCAGAAGTCAGGGGTTGGCCCAGCCACATGCCACTGGCGTTGGGATTTGCCACGGGATGCCATTGCTACTGGGAGGCATTGCTGTGCCCAGCTTTCGGGGTTCTGAGTCTACTGGCCGGCTCCTGTAGGTATTTCTCTGCAGCAACACCCACATTTCTTGCTTGCTGCCAAAAGCAACAGCACACTCTTCTTTCCCTTAAGTAGAACGACATTGATATGGAAAGGCTCCAAGATGGAGAAGCCTATCAGTGGTTCTAGCCACGATAGCAGCTGCCATACTCTGATAGTAACAGACACAGTATACCTGTGTATGCCTCCACCAGTAGCTGGAGGACATGAGCAGGAAGGAGATATGGTATTTTTGTCCAACTTGTGAGCTTCCCAGTATATCACAGCGTAGCGACTTCAGCTAGGGCTGCCTTTCTGAGAGGCATGTGGGTGAGAAGGGTCAGGACAGAGCGCCTTTGGTTTGTTCACTCTGGCGCAGAAGTCTAGGAATGCTGAAGCAGAGGGACTTTTCTATGTCCTGCATTTTGGTGTATTTGCAGTTTTCCACAGCAGCTGATATTCTGGTCTAAACTGTTGAGAATCTCCACTCGCACTGAAAAAGGAGGGGCGATGCTACTAGCCTTATCAATGGTTGGAGAACATAGAGATGTGAAGTCTTCAGAAAGTGTTAAGTTTAAAAGGAACATCTCCGCCTTTCATGGCTGAACTTTATCTACCACCTTCCCACCAGGTGGCTATTTATCCTCTGCTGATCCTCTCATCCCCACATATCTTCTGGCCCCACACTCTGCTTTTTGCAGAATTAACCTGTCCTTCTTCAAAATCTCCGGTGCTCAAATTGCTAATGAAAATGTACAAGCTGGGAGGTTACTCAACATAGGGCAATTCTTTATAAAAAATATATATTTGCATAATGGACTCTTGACTCCAGAAAGTGGAGCTGCTTGATGCAGAGTTGTGGGGAGGTAGGAAGTGGAGCATTTGATCTGAATTAAAATCGTCGTGTGGATGCATTCCACCTTGCTTACCCCACCTCACACATGTTCATTCCCTTGAAATTCTCTCAAATTCTTTAAGGAACTTGGTCAGTGTCCCAATTTGCATGATGCTGCTGCTAAGCAGGCAGGTCCCCCCATCTTAAGTGGCCTTTTCTTCTTCCACTTTGCTTTGATTGCCTTCCGGGGCCATTGGATGCCTCTTTCTGTGCCAGGCAGGGTCAGCAATAGTCCTGCTGTAGCGTCTGGATCCCCGTTTCCTTGCTTCTCCTCTCTTCTTTGATAGCTCTCGTGGCTCACCCTTTGAGGCAGAAGGAAGAGCAAGCTCTGTTTGCAGAGGCCCTGCATGTTTGTGTTTAGGGTCAAGGCTGGCGGTAGTGGCAATTCGCGTCATGGCTGGGACTCTGGCGGCTGCAGCAAGAACGCCTCCAATTGCCTGATCCGACAGGCAAGGGGGAATGTCCACGTTCCTCTGTGTCTCATCTGGGCCACTTCCCCATGAATTCAGTCTTAACGCCACTCCATCCTGAATGAAATGATGAAAACAGCAACATCCATGCAGGCAAAATGCATATTTATTTCCATAGCCAATTTTCCCCAGTGTATGGGGGTTTTTCACATGTCTTCCCCTAAGGCACACGTTAAATGCTGAACCAACAAAATTCTCCGGCATCCTTGGTTTCCATCCACCCACGCCAAATCTGGGAGCTATGCAGTTCTTTTCAGGTTTGCAGGCAATTTTCTTGCTTCCCCAAAGGCGTTTTATCAAGCCCCTGTGAATGGCTGGTTGATTCTTTTTGCCTCTCTCTTGTCTTTTTGCTCCTTCCAGTTACTGGTGCGGCATTTGCTAGCTTCCATGTTTCCTCTACACATTGCACTGGTATAGTACCATCAAGGTGCATAAAAGATGGAAACCCCAGGTTCTTTCCACCCCTGTCCCCAAGGGATGACATTTCATGGACTTACGCTGATTAAAGTGGCACTGAATAAAGTCACCCCTATGGCAACAGAAGGTAAGAGGCAATGGCTGGTGATTTTTATGGCTGTGGTCCAGCTAGTGGAAAAGCTCTATTTTCTTTGCCTTTGGTGGCGACAGTACAAGCCACACCTGTGTTCTCTGCTGCAAATTTGATGGAGGAAATGGCCTGCGTGTGCTCTGTGTTGGCACTCCCCCCTGTTCTGCCAACATCCTCATTTTTGGCTAGTATCTTCTGCTGCTATGTAGTCTTTGAACCTCTCTTTCCCTGCCAGCCTGTCTGCACAATCTCTGATCTACATGAGAAACCGTTTTCCCCATAGGAATGCTTCAAGTCTTCTAACAGGTAGTGAGTGCCCCCTTGATGCGGAAAGATCAGTTTGAAACACCCCATGGCCTGGACCTTGTGTTGTTGACATGCCATATCGCGTTTCCGTGTACCAAAGAAATTTATGCATAATGGTGTCATGATGGGGAGATGACTCAGCCTGTGGATGAGCAGAGGACCACCCCATCTGGGTGGAAGCCCTTTAGTGTTAACTGTGACATTTCAGCCTTCTCGGCCAATGCATTCTCTGTAAGGTGGCCACACTTCCTGCGCCCGCTCTAGTGTAGTGGGTTTAAAGAGGTGAAAGTGTTGGGGACCCTCAGCAGAAGTCCTTGTGGAGGTAC